TTTTCATTTCATGTTACCAGTGTGAGGTCACTGAACAAGGAGCTGGGATGAGATGCACAGAGTTGGTTCTCCTGGACCACTGAGCTGTTACTGAGTCATACCTGCTAAGCACCCTCATTGGGATTTTATTTTATCTTATTAATTAATTAATTAATTTTTAATTGAAGTATAGTTGGTTTACAGTGTTGTGTTAATTTCTGATTTATAGCAAAGTGATTCAGTTACACATACACATATATGTATTCTTTTCCATTATGGTTTATTATAAGATATTGAATATAGTTTCCTGTGCTATACAGTAGGACCTTGTTGTGTATCTATTTTATATATAGTAGTTTGTCCCTGTTAATCCCAAACTCCTACTAATTTATTCCTTCTTCCCTCTTCCCCTGTGGTAACCATAAGTTTGTTTTCTATATCTGTGAATCTGTTTCTGTTTTGTAAGTAAGTTCATTTGAACCATATTCTAGATTCCACATATAGGTGATATCATATGATACTTGTCCTTCTCTGTCTGACTTTCTTCACTTAGTATGGTAATCTCTAGGTCCATCCAGGTTGCTGCAAGTGACATTATTGTATTCTTTTGTATGGCTGAGTAATATTCCATTGTTTATATATACCACATCTTCTTTATTCATTTGTTGATGGACACTTATGTTGCTTCCATGTCTTGCCTATTGTAAATCGTGCTGCAGTGAATATTGGGATACATATATCTTTTTGAATTATAATTTTGTCTGGAATATATGCCCAGGAGTGGGATTGCTGGATCATACGATAACTCTATTTTTAGTTTTTAAGGAACCTCCATACTGTTTTCCATAGTGGAAACTTACATTCCCACCAACAGTGTAGGAGGGGTTCCTTTTCTCCACACCCTCTCCAGCATTTGTTATTTGTAGACTTTTTAATGATAGCCATTCTGACCAGTGTGGTGGTACACATTGTAGTTTTGATTTGCATTTCTCTAACAGTTAGCAATGTTGAGCATCTTTTCATGTGCCCACTGGCCATCTGTACCACATTGGGATTTTGAAACTAAGTTTTCCTCTTCTATTTTAAAAATTTTGTTTCAAAAGAGGATATATTTGCTCTGAATCTATTCTTTTGAACTTGTGAATATTTTAATAGGCCTTGGTACTCTTCTCTGTGTATACTTATACCTACAGAAGGAGATTTCAGAGTGCTGTCAGAGGTGCCCAGGGCCCTATCCAGACCTTTGGGTTCTGGCCAGTGAAGACAAGGTGAAAGTTACATAGTCCAGTGGTGGTACTTTGCTTGAGGAGTGGCAAGGCTGTTGATTGAGAGGGAGTAGTGGTGAAGCTATGGCAGTCTCATGCCAGGTCTGTCCCTGCTAGGCCAACTGTCAGACTTCTTTCTGAGGCTGCTTGCTTGAGCTTATAGTCAGCTGGGGCCCTGCTCCACTTCCCTAACTGGCGTGACTACCTGGGTTTGGTGCTTCAGCAGTGCCTGGCACCACGTGTGCCAAGCGAGGGCTGGGATGGCATATTGGTTTGCTGCTTGCAGAACTTGTTCATAGAGTTGAGAGTTGACCTCTTCTGGAAGCTGGGACCTCGACCTCATCTCCAGGCTGGGCTCCTCTGGACCTGGGAGGTATTTGAGTCAGGTCAGAGTTCCAGTTTCCTGCAGAAACCAATGAGTGAGCCACTCCTGTAGGCATCTCCAAGTTAACTGGGGCACTGCTGTGGCGACCAGTATTGGAATTCTCTGTGCCAATGCCTGGGTTTAACTTGACGTGCCGTCACCCAAGTGTGGGCTGGGGGTGTGGGCCACCATACTTGTTGCGTCTCGTGCTGCTCTGAGACTAGCAGTGTTTTGAGGTCATTCTAGGGGATCCCACCATTTTTGGGCCAAATGGCTTTTCCTTCTCTTGCGTTGGTTCATGGGCAAGATCATGCAGCCTTCCATGGTGCAGTGTATCTGATAAAAAGGCTTCAAATTTTCTGGTTCACTGATGCTCTTCCTTCCCCCCTCCTTCAATGATCAGAACTGAAACAGTTTTTTTCTTTTTCCTTTAAAAATTTCCTGGTTCGTTTCAATGGGAATTTGGTAGGGAATGTTAAATGACTTGGTTTAAATCACTATTTGAGCCAGAAGTCCAAAATGTCACTTTGTAGTGATTCTGGGTATAACATTGTATGGCAACAATGCTGCCTTTTTGGACTGTGGAGAAAAAGTCTTTGTAAAAAATGATCGTGATCTGGCAGCTGAGGCTCCAACAGCTCAGAATGCTCTGCCAGTTAGAATGGGCATCATCAGAAAATCTACAAACAACAAATGCTGGAGAGGGTGTGGAGAAAAGGGAACCCTCCTGCACTGTTGGTGGGAATGTAAATTGATACCGCCACTATGGAGAACAGTATGGAGGTTCCTTAAAAAACTAAAAATAGAACTAAAAACTAAAAGTAGATTGTTGGCTGCCACATGGATCTTCTAGAAAGGTCCTTGAAGTCCACAGGAGTTCTGAAGCATAGATAAGGGAAAGTTGTGAAAATACTTTGGTTTTTTTTGTTTGTTTGTTTTGTTTTTTGCGGTACGCAGGCCTCTCACTGTTGTGGCCTCTCCCGTTGCGGAGCAAAGGCTCCGGACGCACAGGCTCAGCGGCCATGGCTCACGGGCCCAGCCGCTCCATGGCATGTGGGATCTTCCTGGACCGGGACACGAACCCGTGTCCCCTGCATCGGCAGGCGGACTCTCAACCACTGCGCCACCAGGGAAGCCCCAGTTTGTTTCTTTTGAAAATAAAGATGAGATAGCTGAAGGAAGGAAGACCCAATTGTTGTTACTCATTGCATAACGTTTCTGGATTTGTGACTGACTTGTTTGCTGTGAAACTCAGAAATGGTCATTTGAAGAACTGAAGTTTAATTTTCTCTAGAGCAGTCTTTTCTCAAAGTGTGGTCTACAGGCCTCCTGCCATGGAATTCTGGGCAGGGAGGGGCTTGTTAAAAATGCAGGGTCTCACACACCTATGGTCAACTAGTCTATGACAAAAGAGGCAAGGATATACAATGGGAAAAGACACACTCTTCAATAAGTGGTGTTGGGAAAACTGGGCAGCTGCATGTAAAAGAATGAAATCAGAACACTCCCTAACACCATACACAAAAATAAACTGAAAATGGATTAGAGACCTAAATGTAAGACCGGTCGCTATAAAACTCTTAGAGGAAAACGTAGGAAGAACACTCTTTGACATTAATCAAAGCAAGATCTTTTTTGATCCACCTCCTAGAGTAATGGAAATAAAAACAAAAATAAACAAGTGGGACCTAATAAAACTTAAAAGCTTTTGCACAGCAAAGGAAACCATAAACAAAATGAAAAGACAACCCTCAGAATAGGAGAAAATATTTGCGAACGAATCAACGGACAAAGGATTGATCTCCAAAATATATAAACAGCTCATGCAGCTCAATATTTAAAAAACAAACAACCCAATCCAAAAATGGGCAGAAGACCTAAACAGACATTTCTCCAAAGAAGACATACAGATGGCCAAGAAGCACATGAAAAGCTGCTCAACATCACTAATCATTAGAGAAATGCAAATCAAAACTACAATGAGGTATCACCTCACACCAGTTAGAATGGGCATCATCAGAAAATCTACGAACAAGAAATGCTTTAGAGGGTGTGGAGAAAGGGGAACCCTACTGCACTGTTGGTGGGAATGTAAATTGATACAGCCACTATGGAGAACAGTATGGAGGTTCCTTAAAAAACTAAAAATAGAACTACCATATGACCCAGCAATCCCACTACTAGGCATATACCCAGAGAAAACTATAATTCAAAAAGACACACGCACCCCAATGTTCACTGCAGCACTATTTACAATAGCCAGGTCATGGAATCAACCTAAATGCCCATCAACAGACAAATGGATAAAGAAGATGTGGCACATATATACGATGGAATATTACTCAGCCATAAAAAGGAACGAAATTGGGTCATTTGTAGAGACGTGGATGGATCTAGAGACTGTCATACAGAATGAAGTCAGAAAGAGAAAAACAAATATCATATATTAACGCATATATGTGGAACCTAGAAAAATGGTACAGATCAACTGGTTTGCAGGGCAGAAATAGAGACACAGATGTAGAGAACAAACGTATGGACACCAAGGGGGAAAGCGGCGGGAGGTGGGGGTGGTGGTGTGATGAATTGGGAGATTGGGATTGACATGTATATGTTGATGTGTATAAAATTGATGACTAATAAGGACCTGCTGTATAAAAAAATTAATAAAATTAAAAAAAAAATGCAGGGTCTCACTCCAGACCTATGGAATTAGAAACTCTTGAGGTGAGACCAGGAAAATGGCATTTTAAGACAGCACATCCTCCCCCAACCCACTGGTGGGTCTGTGCATGCCCAAGTTTGCGAACCACTGGTCTCAATCATTTGTTCTTGTTTTGGGGTGCTATTCTCTGCAAACTTTCATTTGTTTTTTTTTTTTAATAAATTTATTTATTTTTGGCTGTGTTGGGTCTTTGTTGCTGCACACAGCTTTCTCTAGTTGCGGAGAGCGGGGGCTACTCTTCACTGTGGTGTGCGGGTTTCTCTTGTTGCACAGCATGGGCTCTAGGGCACGTGGACTTCAGTATTTGCAGCGCACAGGCTCAGTAGTTGTGGCTTGCAGGCTGTAGAGTGCAGGCTCAGTAGTTGTGGTACACGGGCTTAGTTGCTCTGTGGCATGTGGGATCTTCCCAGACCAGGGCTCAAACCTGTGTCTCCTGCATTGGCGGGTGGATTCTTAACCACTGTGCTACCAGGGAAGCCCCTCATTTGTTTTTTTTCTTTGGTTTTTTCTTAAGTTGCCCTCTGATATAAAAATTGGTAAAATTTGTCCCCTTGTGATCATTCATTTCTGTCTGTTTTGTTTTAAACTCCGGGACAATATTACTCGATTTCATGAGTTGCTTTTTATTTCTGAATGTCTGATTTTGAACTTTTCATTTTTCCCACAGAGCCGAGAAAACAGAAGTCCTCAGTGAAGATCTGTTACAGGTAACAAAAGAAAGACTTTTAAAAGTGCTCTGTTTAAACAACAACAGCAACAAAAACCCATAGGAAGAACTGAAGCTTATGGTTCTTTGCTTTTTTTGGGGTTTTGCCTGAAACAGAATTAGTGTGATTAGCATGGTTTTGAGCAGGAAAGAAAAGCAGTTGAGTTGTGCGGTGATCAAAAGGGGATCTGAAACTTGGGTGTCATGTTATGAAGTTCAGATGGAGCTAGTCCTGCGTTCAAGTGCCAGGTGTTGGGGTGAGCATGGGGGAGGAGCCTGGCTGGCCCGGCCAGTCCACTGGCACTGTGGCCTGGTCATGCGTCCTGGGCAGGCTGCTGCGCTGGCGACCTTGATGGGACAGGCTCTGCCAGCTGCGGCAGTGGCCCCACTGGTTCCAACCTAGATTTCAGGTTTTTTGCTCCCTTTTATGCTTCTTCCCTAAAACTGACCTAAGTTGGGTCCTGAAGGACTCAGAGTCTCAGAGACAGTGACCAGATCTCAGAACCCCCCAGGGGCCCTAGTGTGGCCTCACACCAATGGGCCAGACTTTCCTTTCCATAGGGAGGGGCGTATCCTGCTGGGGACCTTAGCCAGGGCCACTCACGCCATTTCTCAACAGGTTTCCCTAACTTTGGGGCTGGGAGTTTCTCCCAGGAGGGCCTGGACCCTTTATACACATCACTTTAGCCAACCCCACTCCGTCCCCACCCACACCGAATACTTTGTGAAGGACAGGACCCCTTCTGCACCTTCTCCTTGCCTCTCATTTCCATCACCTGCCTCTGGTGCACTCCAGCGAGTCCCTGGAGACCAGAGATCTGCTCCCAGGTGGCTTTCTGTCTCTTCCCATGCAGAGAAGGAGCTGCATAATTTTAAAAAAAGCTATTTCTGCCCCACCGTGCCAAAACAGCCTTCTAAATTATGGCAGTCTTCTGCAGGTAGAAGATTTTAAGAGCACTTTTTTTTTTTCTACTTTTGAGGACTAGAAGTTTTTATCAAGGATTAGAAGGGTTTTTTCAAGAAAAGATTTATTAAGGAATCATAATCTTTAAAAAAAATTTTTATTAAGGCATAGTTGATGTACAATATTATAGTTTAAGAATCAGATTCTTAACAGTATTTCCTCACTGGTTTTTATCAGATATTTCAAATCCATTTTCAGAATTTTAGAAATATTGTTTGGTATGGTTACACTAGGTTTTCCTGTCAGCATTCTCCCACCTACATCCCACGTCAGTAATATACGTCATTCCATTTCATCCTTTAAGCCCTGCAAGGAGGCCAGAGGCCTGGCAGGCAGGTGGAGGATGGCAGAGATCGCACGGGACTCAGACAGTGACTGTCTGTGCTTGTCCCTTTGCCCAAACGTCCGCTGGGGCCTGAGGAGTTTGCTAGTTTCTAGGAGCTCCCTTTTTTTTTAAAATTTATTTTATTTAAGTATAGTTGATTTACAATGCTGTGTTAATTTCTGCTGTACAACAAAGTGATTCAGTTATACACATATGTACATTCTTTTTCATATTCTTTTCCATTATGGTTTGTCACAGGATATAGGAACTCCTTATTTTATAACACAGATACTCCACGTCTGCGGCAATTGTTTTCCTGCTCTGATTTCTGTTTTTTTTTTTTAACCGTAAAGAAGGCGTGTAATGGTTCAAAGTGCTGAGTGCTGGGTCTGGTGACCAGCCACCTGGATTCCCATCCCAGGTCTGCCCCTGACTAGCTCGGTGGCCTCGGGAATTCACTTAACCTCCCTCTGCCTCAGTTTCCACTTCTCTAAAAGGAGGGTAATCACTGTATCACCGCATGGGTTTGTTAGGAGGGATTCATGGGTTAAACATGGTTAGCACTGGGAGTGGGGCCTGTCACGTAGTGAGGGCTAAATATTATATTAGTGATTTGTTGGTATGATTACCACTGTCACAAGCCACAGAGCTTTTTTTTTTTTTTTTCGGTACGCGGGCCCCTCACCGCTGTGGCCTCTCCCGTGCAGGCTCAGCGGCCGTGGCCCACGGGCCCAGCTGCTCCGTGGCATGTGGGATCCTCCCGGACCGGGGCACAAACCTGCATCCCCTGCATCGGCAGGCGGACTCTCAACCACTGCGCCACCAGGGAAGCCCCCACAGAGATTACTTTGTATCTGATGTGAGACTTCCCTTAATTTGCTCTTTCTCCTGCCTCTTTTCTTAGATCTCTGGTAGAGCAGTTCAAGAGGCTGCCTTTTTATCTTGTTTGTATGGAGTTTACCCAGGAGGCTGTGAATCCCAGGAGGGTGGGAACCACAATTTACTTACTGTTGTTTTTCTAATACCTTGTACAGGGTATATACAATATAATACTTGTTCTTTCAACAAATATTACCTTCCATTTGGGCCAGGCAGTGATCTAGGCACTTGGGATAAATCTGTGAACAAAACAGACCAAGGCCCTATCCCTTTGGACTTTACATTCTAGTGGAAATTGGAATCAAGTGAAATGGAGTTTTGGGGGTTTTCTCCCCTCCCCCCCCCTTTTGTGGCAAATGAAGAATGTGTATTAGTTTTCCAGTGTCTTAGAATCGGGTCATTATAAGATTTGGGGCAAGTAATGTGGCATCTGGCCCTAAATAAATGTGGCTGCAGATCGGGGTCCTGGGATGGGGCCTTGGTTGGATCTGAAGAAGGGCTGCTTGAGAAAGAGGCACAAAACCATCTCATTGGGTAAAATGTTTTGGGGTAAAAATGTATTCTGCTTTGAACTTGTTGATTTTTCTTTAAAATAGAAAGCATCCCTAAGGGCCTGCCCTCATTCTTAATGAGTCATCAGAATACACATTTTTGGCATTCCTTCCTGTAAAAAGCAGCTCTCTTTGCCATAAACAGCCATATCCCAGCAATAATATTTTGGGAAGCTAATCGTGATGTGTGGGCCCCCTAAGTCAGTGTTTCTTACTGCTGGCTGTCCATTCTGCTTTAGAGGTTTATTATTAAAAAAAAAAAAAAAAACCACCCCAAGCCCAATAAGGAATAATTTTGAAAACATTGATCTTGAGTTTTAGTTGTGGAACATTTTTTTTGATTCTCTGTCGTACCGTGTGTGGAAGGCTCCATTGCCATGTGCAGGAGAGAGCTGAATGTCCCTGTGGCTTTCCCACTTGGCATTGGGCCTGAGGCTGGGCTTAGGCTGTTCATTTGCAGTTCTGCTGGTTGGACCTGGGACTTTGCTGGTGCTGTAGTGTGTGAGTTTGTCACCACTTATCTGATAGCAAGTTCTAGTCAGGGCTCTCCCCTACCCCTGGACATAAATTCAGCCTTTAAGGGATCTGAAAACTCAGTGTTTCTCAACTAGGGGTGATTTTGCCCTCTGGGGGGATATTTCACAATGTTTGGGGGCAGTCTTGGTTGTCACGAAGAGGGGAGTTGGGTGCTACTGGCATCTAGTGGGTGGAGACCAGAAATGATGGTAAACCTACTGATAATGCACGGGACAGCTGCCCACAACCCAGAATTCTCCAGCCCACTTATCAATAGCGAGAAACCCTGGTGTAGCTGCGTGGGAACCACTTCCATTTACATCCAAGTGAAAAATTCAACGGCAAGATGCTTTTTCCTGCCTACATGCAAACACCGCAGGAGGAAGAGGCTGAGTTGGTCTTGAGCCTTGCCAACGGCTCGTCTGTCTTTGTGTTGTCAGATCGAGCGGCGCTTGGACACAGTGCGCTCCATGTGTCACCATTCCCACAAGCGCCTGGTGGCCTGCTTCCAGGGGCAGCACGGCACCGATGCCGAGAGGAGACACGTGAGTACTGGGTGGGACTTGGAGCCGTGGTTCTCGCCTCGTCTCTGAGAGGCTCTTCTCCCTCTATCAGTCGATTTTTCCCAAGCAGCATCAGCAGATTTGCCTGCAGACCTGTACCTTGTATCGCCATTCACGTTCACGACACCGGCCTTATCATAGCATTCTTTTGTGCTTAAGACATCCCTGAGCTGAAAGCCATATTCACACTGAATTCTCTCCAGGTGCTTTTAGAGATTTGTCATCATAAGAGAATGGACACATCAGTTAGGAATCCTCTGATGGCAGAAAGCTGCAAGCCTCTCTTAAATTGACTGAGAAAGTAGAATTTATTGGCTTACTAACTGAAAAGTCCAGTAGTCAGGACGGACTCCAGGGAAGGCTTGGGCTAGGCTTTCGGTGATGTAACCAGGACCCCAGTTTCTTTCCTTCTCTCCTTCTCTCCCCTCGGCCTTCTTCAGTGTCTGCCTTATCCCTCATGGTTGCAAGCTGGCTACCAGCAGCTCCCATGGGCTACCTACTTCCTTGTGCATGTCCAGCAGGAATAGAGAGCGTCTCTTCCAGTAGTTTTTCTTAATGGAGTGAGAAGACTTCTTTTTTCCATACTTTTGGCAGGTAGAAATCCCTTCCCATTGCATTGATCTGCGTTGAGTCACATTCTCCATTACTGAACAAACCCCTCCCACAACCCCCAACCAGGACGTGCTGGTTGGCATAAGCTAATCACAGCTCACCCCAGAGCATGGGCTATGGTCCTACCTCCAGCTCATAGGCTCCATTGAGACCAGGATAGGTCCTTAGGAGGACTCAGGAAGGATGGGCTCTAGGAAACAATCAAATGTCTACTCCAGGGTACGTTCAGAGCGTCCAGGTCCCCGTGTCCCACCAGCAGAGCACAGCAGCTTTGTTTGTCAGGCAGTTCCGCCCTTAGTTTTATGAGTTCCCAGCTTACGAGCATACCCTGACCCCCATATAACATTATGGTGGGAGTTTCCATGGCACACAGGGAAGCTATGATTTCCCATATATATATTTTCTTAAATTTCTTTATTTTTGGCTGTGTTGGGTCTTCGTTGCTGCACGCAGGCTTTCTCTAGTTGCGGTGAGCAGGGGCTACTCTTTGTTGCGGTGCATGGGCGTCTCATTGCAGTGGCTTCACTTGTTGTGGAGCACGGGCTCTAGGCACGTGGGCTTCAGTAGTTGTGGCACACGGGCTCAGTAGTTGTGGCTCACGGACTCTAGAGCGCGGGCTCAGTAGTTGTGGCACACAGGTTTAGTTGCTCCGCGGCATGTGGGATCTTCCCGGACCAGGGCTTGAACCCATGTCCTCTGCATTGGCAGGCAGATTCTTAACCACTGCGCCACCAGGGAAGCCCATCCCATATTGTTTTATTTGCCACTAGATGTCTCAAAAGGAGGAGCTGGTGTGCAGACGATCTGTGTCACCCTCCTTTTATATTTCCTACACACATTTCTGGCCAACTTGACAACAGGGTTGCTCCTCTCTTGCACAACACATAGTTTCCGCAGTGGTGTATATCAAAGGAGCAGAAGTTTGCATGCACCTCCGATTCCAGGAATGCTTGCTGCAGTTCCCATCCATCAGAACCAGGCCCAATCCACTGGTCCTGCCCCCTCTGCCCCTTTGCATTCTCTTGCCATGGCTTCTGCTCTGCCTGCCCTTTTAATATTGTTTCCTAAGCTTCTGCCCTTCATCTCCTTATTCTCGCCATCACATTCCTTGGGCCGCCTCCTCTCTTCTCATGGCGCCTAACTAATGTGTTTATTCAGACACTTGTAAACCATTTTCAACGAAGCAAAGAACTTCCTCCCGTAGTTGTCTATTTTAGCACGCATAACCAGTTCTTCTGTGTTGACTCTTGGATTCTATCCACCCTAGTATGCAAGTTAGGTTATCTTTTTTTATGAGTGAAGGGCATGTGTTTGTTTTGTTTTTTAATATATTTATATATTTATTTATTTGGCTGTGTTGGGTCTTGGTTGCTGCACGGGGGCACTCTCTAGTTGCAGAGAGCGGGGGCAACTCTTCATTGTGGTGCGTGGGCTTATTGTGGTGGCTTCTCTTGTTGCGGAGCATGGGCTCTAGGCACGCGGGCTTCAGTAGTTGTGGCATGCAGGCTCAGTAGTTGTGGCTCATGGGCTGTAGAGTGCAGGCTCAGTAGTTGTGGCTCACGGGCTTAGTTGCTCTGCACCATGTGGGATCTTCCCGGACCAGGGCTCGAACCTGTGTCCCCTACATTGGCAGGCAGATTCTTAAGCACTGAGCCACCAGGGAAACCCTCCCTTTTGTCTTATCCTCAACCTCCCATAGCTGCTTGATTAGCAAGTCCTGTGATTCTCTTTGTGACTGTTTCTTGAATTTCTCACCTCTGCTCCATCTTTACCACCTTCACCTTAATGCAAGACCTGATTACCTCTCATTATCTGGACTGTTGCAGTCACCTCTTGAGCTACATTTCCTGCCTCTGATTTCCTTTTTTTCCAGCCTTTCTTCAACCTGATCACCAGAGATGGTTTCCTGAAATACAAATTGATCTTGTCATCCTTCTGCCTAAAAAAAAAAAATCTTAAGCTTAGTTGTTCTCAACAGGGACCAGAATTACACTCCTGGGGATATTTGGAAATGTGTGGAGACTTTTTTGGTTGCCATAAGGTCTGGGGGACACTACTGGCATTTGGAGGGTGGGGACCAAGATGGCTGGAGGGATAGTTCCACATAAGGAAGCATCCCATAATACCACTGATGCTCTGGCAGGGACGATGGCTAGTTCCCATTGCCTGGGTTAAAATCGAACCCTTTTTTTTGTTTGTTTTTTTTTAATTGAAATATAGTGGACTAATATTATATTAGTTTCAGGTGTACAACATCATGATTCAGTATTTTTATAGATTACACTCCATTTAAAGTTATTGTAAAGTATTGGCCATATTCTCTGTGCTGTACAAAATATCCTAAAGTCCAAGCGCTTTAGATGACTTCAGCCCTTCATAATCTCATCACATTTCCCTTATCAGTCTCAGTATCTCCCGCTTCCTCCCATTCATGCTGTAGGCCATTGTCATTCACACAGATTGTCTTGTTGTTCCTTTGGTCTGCTTTGAAACACAGCCCAGGTGTCACATAAATTCATTAAAAACAAACAAATTAAGTATTTATCAAACACCTACTATGTACAAGTGCTGGAGCTATAAAATGAATTAGATGTAGTGTCTCCCTTAAAAAGTGCTCATAGCCTGGTGGGGGAGGCTTCCTCCACAAATGGATAATTATAAAAACAACATACTAAACAAAATATGCACAGGGTATTATGGGAGGACCAAGAATGGGCACCAGAGGAGGAGAGGGGTAGTCAAGGGAGGCATCCTGGTGAAGGTGGTGGCCTAGCTGTAAAGGAGGAAAATGAGTGGCAGGTGATGGGCCTATTCCAGGCAACAGGGGCAAAGGTGCCTCTCCCTCATTTCTAAAACCTAATGCCTTAGGCTTCCTTTTCCAGCCTCGAACCAAAGTGCCCAAGACAGGGCTCAGAGGTTGTCTACGCTCTGCACGTGGGACGAAGAGTCGCCATGGAATAGATGATGGGTGACCACGAGAGGTCGGCAGTCTCTCGCGCTCTAGAAAGTACAGGAGGAGCCTTGCAAAGGCCCCACCAGAAGCTCCCATGCGTGTGAAGAGGCAAGAATTGGAGGGAGGAGAGACAGGGCAGGTGGCCTTCTCAGCCCAAACTGTTGACATGGCATAGCTTATGTCGTGGTTCATATTAGACCTGGAATTGTTTCTTTTCGTGCAGCTGGCATGCCTTTTATAAATTAGGAAGCCCTCAGCCCTCTCCGTGGAGGAGTCTGATGTTGGTAGACAGCATGTTCATTAATCAGCTCAAATGTTAAATGAGCAGAATGTCCTTATTTCTGTACATCGGGAACCAGGATTGTTGATGCTTTGGAGTCAGGGCATGGAAACCACAGGTTAGTTACAACTGGGCACTTGAATGATACTTGTCAAAGTAAACTCCTCTCTTTATGTTTTTTTTTTGCCATAGAGCTCCAGAGTTGCACAAAGTATATTTCTCTTGATTACTGCACTTATCCTACATTAAATTCCCTTAGAAAGGCAGCATAAGTAAAAGGTATGAATTATCCTCTATTTTGATCAAAGCACACTGCCCATTTTCTCATATCTTCCTGGTCTATTAATGTGGAAGCTGGGAACGTCTCCTTGAGGGGCAGATGAAGCCTGTTATTTATTTATTTGAACATAACCTGAGGGGGAGGAGAGATGGGTAAATATATTTGTTCATTATTTATTTTTAAGTTTCTGTGTACCATTTTGAATGGGCTGTCCAGCTACATGGTCAAAATCCATAATATGCAAAAGAACGTAACATGAGGTCTCTCCCAGCCCTGTTCCCCGGGCACCCAGTTCCCCTCTCCAGGACCACCAGTAGTAGCAGTTTCTTGTACAGCCTTCCAGAGATATTTTAGAAGTGTAACAGATGGAGCCCTTTGAAGGCAGGAAAGGCAGGTGACATGCCCGAGGTCAAGGCAGAGCAATGCCACGGCAAGGTGTACCCCAGGTCTTTGACATCAGTTCCCTTTCTACTGGGAAGGCAAAATTACATGGGGTACCGCAGCAATGAAAGCATTTTTTGTTAGCAGATCATGGTGTTATAACCAACCCACATGCTACTTTCCAGGCCTCTTCTGCCTATATTCTGAGATAAGCCATTAGCTAGTCACGGACAGACTCTGAACCGGGGCTCGGGCTTTTAGCACCGAGGTCTAGCTCTGCACCCTCACCGGGGCGCCTGGCCAGGCCATGTAATCCCCCTGGGCTTCACATTCCCCAGCTGCACAATTAGAACATTAATCGGATGATCCTGACGGCCATTTCCAGCTGAAAAACAAATCTCTGGTAGGAAAATGAGCGACTTGGTGCCTAAAAAATTTTTTTTAATATTTTGGATATTTAGCTAGATATTTTCAGATCTTTAACTAAATCTAAATCTTTATGATTCCAGCCAATTTAAGAGCCAGTTTAAGAATGAGTATTCTAGCAAAAGTTTTTAAAATTGAGCACTTCATTGCATTTATTTGTCATGATAATCAGAGGGCACGGTGTATGTCTTATGTCCCCAGCGCCTGGGTCATAGTATGCTCTTGATTATAGTAATTATAGTAATAGCAATGACAACAGTAATAATAGCAGCTAACGTTTACTGAGTACTTACCATGTACTCAGTAAATGTTACGTGAATCATTTACTTGGGGTACTTGACCTTGAATATCTCCTTTAGTCAACGGACAGCCCTAGGACCCTTGCACTGTTATCCCTAATTTCCAGGCATGAGCAAACTGACACAGAGCTTGTCACACAACTCATACCTTTGAGACCAGAACCTGAACCCAGACAGGATATCTCTTACCTGTGCAGTTTACCTGGAGGAGAAACCAGTGACTGAAGATCTGAAGCAGGTAATTGAGAATGGGTGTCAATTATAATGAAAAAAAAAATGCATTGTCTTCTGCCTTCCAGAAAAAACTCCCTGTGACAGCTCTCGCTCAGAATATGCAAGAAGCATCAACTCAGCTAGAAGACTCTCTCCTGGGGTAAGAGTTGGGCTATTTCAGAAAGAGAGCCATGCACCCTGTGGGTTGGTAGAGGTGGATGGCTGGGTGGTGTACATGGCAGCCACATGTGTGACCAGAGGCTGAGGCCCCATGGGAGGCCACTGGGATGCTAGAGAATCTTCCTTTTAGTAGAAGCAAGGATAGATCATACAAAGGGCCAATAACAAAAGTAATTGATAAGGTCAATTATTTAATCTGCTGAGCTTGGATATAAAGAACTCAGTCCCTTCTGTGGTCCAGGTGTTGACTCAGATTTATAAGCCCTGACCAGTCCCATTTAGTCCTTAAAAGTCACTTCTTTTAAAGATGATCACTGTAATGTCAGTGGAGGTTGTCTCAAAATAGTGCCTTTTCTGAATTATGTGGATTTTTTTTTTTACAATGAGCATGTATTACATAAATAAGTTTAAAATCTAATAATAAAGCTATTTTCATTGTAAGAGGGAAGGTTGACCTTTCTTTCTACTTGCTTCTCTACAAGGCCAGTGTCCTTTGATCCTGTCTGCTCTCTCCTGCTGTAACATGGGCCCTCCTTTCCCAGCTGGATATGGCCTTTGGACTTTTCAGCCCATTTCCCAGGGTCTGCCATGCTCCATGACCTACAATGCTCTGTCGTTCTTTGAAGGACACTGCCTAGGCCGGACTTACTAGCAGACAGAAAACAGTGTAGTATAATAAACGTTACATATGATTTAAAAGATTTTCAGGGTACTTTTGAGAATACTTGCTTTTCACCTGACCAGAGGACCTAATCTTTCAGTGAGTTCTCACCTCACTGTTTACACACATCCGCACGCGTACACACAAATTATACCTGAGGTAGTCTTGTGCATTTTATTTTATTTATTTATTTATTTTTTTGGTACGCGGGCCTCTCACCTTTGCGGCCTCTCCAGTTGCGGAGCACAGGCTCCGATGCGCAGGCTCAGCGGCCATGGCTCACGGGCCCAGTTGCTCCGCGGCACGTGGGATCTTCCCGGACCGGGGCACGAACCTGTGTCCCCTGCATCGGCAGGTGGACTCTCAACCACTGCGCCACCAGGGAAGCCCAGTCTTGTTCATTTTAAAGCACAAGTCTGTGGACTTACGCCCTAAGTTTATAGTACTTTCAGGTCTCTATTGTATAGCGCCCTAATGCGTTCCCATCGTATGGAGAGCAGAGCTGGCTCAGTGTGGGAATCTGGTGCCAGATTTAATGGACGTATGTTTGTTGTTGGGCATCTTGTTTTTAAAGGAAGATGCTGGAGACGTGTGGAGATGCTGAGAATCAGCTGGCTCTGGAACTCTCTCAGCATGAAGTCTTTGTCGAGAAGGAGATTGTGGACCCTCTGTACGGCATAGCAGAGGTGGGTGCTTTGGCGGGGGCTGGGTGGGGAATGGTTCACTTGTGTCTGAAACTTTAACAATAATCAGTGGCTTTGGCATACACTTCTTTTTGGAAATAAGGGGAGTAAGTTGAGGGTACAAAATCCTTTGCCTAAGAAAAAAAAGAAAATGGTAAATAAAGATTGCACTTTCAGAGGTTAAACTGAAAACCCCGAAGCTCGTCCCATTTCATATGTGGTGTGTTCTTCTGTCCAGGTAGAGATTCCTAACATCCAGAAACAGAGGAAGCAGCTCGCCAGATTGGTTTTAGACTGGGACTCGGTCAGAGCCAGGTAGGATAAAGCTGTGAAAAATAACCAATAATGCGTTTTCTGTCACATCCCCAGCAACCATCCCCCTCCTCAACACGGATAAAGACCACTGGGTGCACAAAACAGACGTCATCACAGATTCACACACTTGACTCACAGACTGAGTCACAGCCTACTTACACCTGCTTTCAGGCCTCATTCTCCCAAGCATGACAGCGGGATGATGTTAGAACACCCTGTTCTTAGTCAACCAACAGTGAAAGGAGACAGGGAAAAAAAAAAAACCTAAATAAGTGTATTCTGGGGAGAAGAAATGGTGGCAGACAGTTCTAAGAGCGTTGTCCTTGGAGTAGTGGAGTTTAGGAATAAATAGATCTGTGATCTTGGCAGCTGCCAAGCGTGCCACTGTGTCAAAAAACACCTGTGTGGTTAGGATCATTTTTCACAATCAAGAAATGCTGTGCTCAACAGGGAGGAACTAAGTAAGACCTAGTAGCCATCCCAGAGGGCTGATGTCAGATGACCCGTCTGTAGTGCTCCATGGCTGGGCTCCAGCCTCAGCTCCATCCGTGAGGGCATTTGTATCAATGACTCATATGAGAGGAGTAGGGAGGTAGCTGCCACGGGCCCCATCCTTTCTCATACCTTATACAAGCGTTGACAGACTTGTTCTGTAAAGGGCCAGGTACTAAATATTTTCAGCTTTGCAACCCAGATGCCCCCTGTTCCAACTACTCAGCTCTGCTGTTGTAGCATAAAAGTAGCCCTGGGCAATACATAAATGAATGAGCAAGTCTGTGTTCGAATAAAACTTTATTTACAAAAGCAAGTGGCTTTGCTGAGCCCTGCTTCGTTAACTCTTTTAATCCTCATTGCACTCTTGTGAAGTAGACATGATTATTTCTGTTTGGCAAATAAATGGAGATACAGAGATCATTTACTAACTTTCTACGTGTCAGATGCTTTTTTTTGGCTGCGTTGGGTCTTCGTTGCTGCGCGTGGGATCTCTCTAATTGCAGTGAGCGGGGGCTACTCTTGGTTGTGGTGCTTGGGCTTCTCATTGCAGTGGCTTCTCTTGTTGCGGAGCACAGGCTCAGTAGTTGTGGCACACGGTCTTAGTTGCTCTGTGGCATGTGGGATCTTCCCGGACCAGGGCTTGAACCCGTGTCCCCTGCATTGGCAGGCAGATTCTTAACCACTGCGCCACAAGGGAAGCCCCGTGTCAGATGCTTTTATTGCAGATTTCCTTGTTTCTAAAATGTCGCTGAGTGTCAGATGCACCAGTGATTTAATATCCGATTTTGGGGGGAAAATGAAATAGAAACACCACTTTATTAAATGTACAAATCAATTGGTAAGACATGTCCTGACTTAAGAAAAGTTGAGATGATAAGAGGGACATCTAGGAATTAGCACATGGTGAACACGATCATTGCCACCACTTACTGGACACTTGCCACGTGCCAGATATCAGACTACGTATGTGATATGTCAGCTCTTTCGATTCTCCCAGCAATCTCTATTCGTTTGTCCACTTGTGTTTTCAGCAGACATTGAGTAGGTGCTTGCTGTGGGTCAGGCTCCGTGTTGGACACTAAGTGCAGAGGCCCTTCAGTGAGAGTTGGAGGGGACAGAGGTTAGGAGGTTACGTGACACCCCCTACTTTGAGAGGAGACTTGTTGTACAGACACTGGAGGCACCTGCACATGCCGTGTCTATGACTTGCTTTGCGTCTTAGACATAATAAACGGCAGGGCTAGGATTCTGAACGCAGAGTCTGCCGTCTCCTTGTCACACGCACACGTGTGATTAGAGCCCTGTGGCCAGAACCAGGATCAGGGAGGGAGTGCAGGCCCCCCTGTGGTAGATTTTTGCTGAAGATAAGGAAAAATGTTCTAATAGTTAATTAAACAAGGCCGTGAGTGCGCTCTTGCTGGAGTTGGTTGAGCGATATTATAGATGCCAGGAATCTTACATCTGCAGCACATGTATCCCAGAGGAGATTTCAGCACTGATTCTTGGTCCTGCATTCATGGTCCTGTTCACTTAACGAATCAAAGTAGGTATTAGAGAAACTGAAACAGATCAATATTTCTTCTTTATTTGACTTATTCCTGTGGCTTTTCCCTGGAGGTGATAGCTAGCATTAGTGGGGATCCATCATATTCACACACAGGCATATATATATTTATTCTCTCTTCTGCTGCCCGTGACAGTTCTGCCGGGCAGACGGTATTTGTTTCCTTAGTTTGACAGATGAGACAACCTGAGGCACAGAGAGGTGAGGCCGTTGCCAAAGGTCACATGGCCGATGAAGGTAGAACCGAGCTTCAGACTTCAGCCTGTCAGACTCCGAAGTCCATGCTCTTTCCATTGCCAGCTTCAGCAGATTTACTGAAGCCTTGCTGTGGAGAAGTGCATCACAACAGCAACGTGAAAGAGGGCAGGGCAGAGCATTCTGGGGGCAATGCAGTCATCTGGGAAGCTTGATAAGTTGCTAACATGGGCTTTCATGCTGCATCTATGTAATATCCATGTTTAAATTTAAAGTGCTAGAGAGTGCGTTACTTAACCTCAACTCTTAGCTTGTTGAGGACGGTAACCAGGACCCGGTATCCACTCCTGTTGCCTGTGCCTGCTGACCTGTAGCCACCACGCATAAGTGCATCTTCATCCATGTTGGCCAGGCTGGTGTCCAGATCGGCAGTGCCTGCTGGGAGCTCTACTACCCAGAACATGGCATCCAGCCCGATGGCCAGATGCCAAGTGACAAGACTACTGGGGGAGGAGATGACTCCTTCAACACTTTCTTCAGTGAGACAGGCGCTGGCAAGCATGTGCCCAGGGCATTGTTTGTGGACCTGGAACCCACGGTCATTGATGAAGTTCACACTGGCACCTGTCGCCAGCTCTTCCACCCTGAGCAGCTCATCACAGGCAAGGAAGATGCTGCCAGTAACTATGCCCGAGGTCACTACACCATTGGCAAGGAGATCATTGACCCCATCTTGGACCCAATTCGGAAACTAGCTGACCAGTGCACAAGTCTTCAAGGCTTCTTGGTTTTCCACAGCTTTGGTGGGGGAACTGGTTCCGGGTTCACCTCCCTGCTGATGGAACGTCTCTCTGTCGATTATGGCAAGAAGTCCAAGCTGGAGTCCATTTACCCAGCCCCCCAGGTTTCCACAGCTGTAGTTGAGCCCTACAACTCCATCCTCACCACCCACACCACCCTGGAGCACTCTGACTGTGCCTTCATGGTAGACAATGAGGCCATCTATGACATCTGTCGTAGAAACCTCGATATTGAGCGCCCAACCTACACGAATCTTAACCGCCTTGTTAGCCAGATTGTGTCCTCCATCACTGCTTCCCTGCGATTTGATGGAGCCCTGAATGTTGATCTGACAGAATTCCAGACCAACCTGGTGCCCTATCCCCACACCCACTGCCCTCTGGCCACATATGCCCCTGTCATCTCTGCTGAGAAAGCCTACCGTGAACAGCTTTCTGTAGCAGAGATCACCAATGCTTACTTTGAGCCAGCCAACCAGATGGTGAAACGCGACCCTTGCTGTGGTAAATGCATGGCTTGCTGCCTGTTGTACCGTGGTGACGTGGTTCCCAAAGATGTCAATGCTGCTATCGCCACCATCAAGACCAAGCGCAGCACCCAGTTTGTGGACTGGTGCCCCACTGGCTTCAAAGTTGGCGCTAATTACCAGCCTCCCACTGGTGGAGACCTGGCCAAAGTACAGCAAGCTGTGTGCATGCTGAGCAACACCACAGCCATTGCTGAGGCCTGGGCTCGCCTGGACCACGAGTTTGACCTGATGTATGCCAAGCGTGCCTTTGGTACGTGGGTGAGGGCATGGCGGGAGGAGAGTTTTCTGAGGCCCGTGAGGACGTGGCTGCCCTTGAGAAGGATTGTGAGGAGGTTGGTGTGGATCCTGTTGAAGGAGAGGGAGAGGAAGAAGGCAAATTCCCATTGCTTTCAGCCCCACAGCATGTCATACTCAGAACTTCAGCTTCAACATTAGCTGACAGGAGTAAAAGCTTTCTGACTAGATTGTCTTCACTTTCAACTGTGATCATGTATTACTTTTCCATGTGTACCTGTAAGATTTTTCTGTCATGTCTGAAAGGTAAAGGCTTTAAGAAAGATAAATAAATAAATAAAGTGCTAGAAATTTCTGCCATAGCAGGCATGTCCGTATTTAAACAGAAGGTCAAAACACACTTGAAAACCAAATAGAAATTGTTTTAGATTATTATTCCCCATTCACTTCCCCCGACTATTACTATAGTATAATTTTGGGGGAGGGGGTCCTTTTGACTTATTTATGAAGGGACTATAAACATTCCACATTATGTTTCAGATTTGCTGTAGATACTAGTATTTATCCTTACAAATGATTTTAATTCTTAACATGCTTTCACAGCTATCAATTACTAGCTCCATGACCGAAGTTCTGGCTTTCACTTACTGAAGGTAATCACAAGTCAGGATGGTAGTAGGCGGTGTTATAAGGGGTCCTGAAGAGCAGCAACTGACCCCCAGTGGCACAGGGAACATTCTAGATCAAAGCAAGAGAACAAGGGGGTGTTTGATTGGTAAGAGCCCAAGATTGGACAGTAGGGGAAGGGGTTCCACGGATTGATTTGCAGCAGTTGGGCTTGCATGGGACAAGGCGTGGCCAGTTCTGCTCAGAGCAGACAGCTACTCTCAGCACTACCACAGTCCCATCACAGCGGGAAGCCAGTGTCACCTTTGCCCGTTTCCATTCTTAAAGGATAAACTCCAGAGAAGCTGCCATCCTAGGTGCTGATACCTGTCCCAGGTAGAATCAGTTTTGGGGAATGAGTCTGTCTCCATTAGGTCTTTAACTCCATAAGGTTGAGTATATACAGCTGCTTCTCAAATAATGGCTATGCCTGTGCTTTGCAGATGGAACCAGGCTCACAAATCTTCAGGAACCAACTTTCAGGGGCTTCCATCAAAAATAGATACCCTAAAGGAAGAGATGGATGAAGCTGGAAATAAAGTAGAACAGTGCAAGGTAGGAGAATTCCCTAATGAATATGTACTTAAATCAATCTTTTGGTTTTTGCAAGTGATGGATGAAAGGTCAAATACTGCAAATTATTTAATGTTTTACATAATTCCTATTAGGATTCCCTGAATGATATTCAAGGTAGGTTTTATTTTCTTCTTCCTTCTTTCTTTATTTTCTAAGACTCTACATTACTTTATACTCACAATAAAGCATTATTTAAAAATAAAATTCAGGGACTTCCCTGGTGGCGCAGTAGTTAAGAATCTACCTGCCAATGTCCACCTGCCGGGGACACGGGTTCGAGCCCTGGTCTGGGAAGATTCCACATGCCGCAGAGCAACTAGGCCTGTGTGCCACAACTACTGAGCCTACACTCTAGAGCCCGTGAGCCACAACTACTGAGCCCACATGCCGCAACTACTGAAGCCCACATGCCTAGAGCCTGTGCTCCACAACAAGAGAAGCCACTGCAATGAGAAACCCGTGCACCGCAACAAAGAGTAGCCCCCATTCTCTGCAACTAGAGAAAAAGCCCACGCACAGCAATGAAGACCCAATGCAGAAAAAAATAATTAATTGAAAAAAATTCAAGTAGGATATTTTTAAAAACTTGACAGAAACGTCTAAGCTTATTTAAAATGAAAAATGGGAGAATAAAAGGAGAAAAACTATATCATAAAATTACAGCAATTAAAACAAGGTGCAATAGGCACAAAAATAGATCCATGGAATTGTATAGGTTTTCTAGAATGAATGCTGTTATATTTAAGGGTTGAATATATAGTAAAGGGGTCATCATATGTCCATAGAAAAGGGAAGGATTATTTTTAAAATGTTGCTAGGACAATTGGCTTCTAATTTGGAAGAAATGAAAATTTGTATCTCATAATCTAAATTCCAGACTAGGTGGTTATTCTCTATGCATCTATCTACAAAGATAAATGTTTATTCCAAATGTTATTTGAGGTGGTAAAGAAACAGGTCTTTGGTGAATCTTAGGATCGTCGCCTGAGACTTTTCCTCCTCTTATTATTCATCATTTTCCAATAATGGTCTCCACATTCTACTAGGTAGCATTAAGACTATATTTTAGTTTATTCAGGTCATGCTATAATTCACTTTTCATGATGGCAAACCTTGGGCAGTTAACTGCAGTAAAATGACTTGTTGAAAATAATATAGTGGGTAAGAATTAATACTGGACTCACAAAGTCATGCCATAGCCTTTACGTTTAAAAAGATGATAATCACACAAATGCTTCTGACAAAAGTCTTGCACTGGCTTATTCTTGTTCAGAAGAGTTGTAGTTTTGCCAGTGTCATTTACGCAGCAGTCTTCTTCATATCTGGTCTAACCTAGATCTTGGCTAGTGGCTCCTTATTGGATATACATTTGTCTAGTAGTTTGGGGGTTTGAACTGGTGCATTATAGGTTAAGTTAAAAGAGAGACTTCTTTTTTTTTTTTTGCGGTACGCGGGCCTCTCACTGTTGTGGCCTCTCCCGTTGCGGAGCACAGGCTCCGGATGCACAGGCTCAGCGGCCATGGCTCACGGGCCTAGCCACTCCGCGGCATGTGGGATCTTCCCAGACCGGGGCACGAACCCACGTCCCCTGCATCGGCAGGCAGACTCTCAACCACTGCGCCACCAGGGAAGCCCAAAGAGAGACTTCTTTTTTTTTTTTTTAATGTTTTTTGAGAGACTTCTTTTAACTTACATACCACAGCTTGTCAGAAAGTCAAATGGTAAAAACTTATGAAAATATTTTCTATTTCCTTCTCCCTTTATGTTAACTTCTGGGTAATTTCCTGAGATCTAAGTTCTGTTTCACTGATTCTCTCTTTAGCTATGTCTGATCTGCTGTTTAATTAACATTGAGTTTTGAATTTTGTTGACTATATTTTTCATTTTAACGTTCTAATTCTTCAAGTCTGCCTTTTTTAATAGTGCATTATTCTTTTTAGTATTTATTTTTTAATGCTTTTAATCATTTATATATACTTATTTTAAGTCTTTGTTAGTTAATTCTGTTTTCTGAAGTTCTCTATGAGAGTGGTGGGAGTTTCCTTTATGGTGGGTTGTTTTGTAGTTTTGTATTGTGAGCTCATTTTAAGAGGGACTTTATCTGTGGGACTTCTGGGGATTAGGAGTGAGTCTCCCAGAGAGTATTACCAAGCCATTTTAAACTAAACTTTCTCAGTTCGAGGATTCCTGGACCACACAGAGAATCAACTCAAAGTTCAAACCCTCATGAAAGCAGGTCTATATATATTTGTGAACTCTCAGGGAAATGTTTTACTTTCCCAGATACAGAGGCCAATCCAAAACGGAAGGTAGTACATTAAAAAAATATATATGTATATATATGAATATGTATATATATTTGAAAATTGGAAATATGGATATATCCAATTGCCCAGTCTATCAGTTTTAAGCTAATTTTTTAATTCTTATGTAAGTAATTTATTTACATTAGTTCAAATATAAAAAGTATAAAACAGTATACAGTAAAGTCTTTCTTCTGCCCCTCCGTCCTCCTCCTCCTCCTAATTTCCACTGCTCTCAACAGGTAACCACTGTTACTAAGTTCTTGCTTTTTTCCCTAGGGGTATTTTTATACAAACATGGTGATAAAAATATTTCCTCTCCCTTTTTTACCCAGATAGTAACATACCATACCAGAAGTAGTGCTCTGTGCTTTGCTTCTTAACAAGGCATATTAATAATAAACCTTGGAGATCTTTCCATGTCAGTCCATAATAAGCTTGATTATTCTTTTCGTTATCCCTGTGTATGATTGTACCAGGGAGTTGATGGACATTTAATCTGCAGCTGTTTCATTACAGTTTGCTCTAGGAGCTCACAGATCAATTCGTAGATGCTATTTTCTTTCACCTCATTTTTCTTCAATGACATATCTTCTCTTCCACTTGCCCAGGATCAACTTGCAGCGGATATGTACAATTTTATGGCCAAAGAAGGGGAGTATGGCAAATTTTTTGTTACGGTAAGCACTTTGCCCTGACGAGACGTTAAAGCATTGTAAAAGTTGAGTCATTTTAGCTTTTTTGCAAAAGATGTCATTTTTGGTTTTGCTCAGCCATTGTGTGTGTGTCCATCCAATGCTAACGTTACTTTTGTTTTTGAATGTGGGTCTGTTCTCAGTTATTAGAAGCTCAAGCAGATTACCATAGAAAAGCATTAGCAGTCTTAGAAAAGGCCCTTCCCGAATTGCGAGCCCATCAAGGTAACGTAACCTGCGTGCTGGCCTGATGCCTCCTTCTCGCCTCTGCCACTTCTGCCTCTGTTCTTCTTTACTCAGCTCCTTTGCATGCATTTCCTTTGGACAAAGCCTCTCTGCCTAGGCGGGCACTATTTCCCAGCACACTTTCATCTTCCCTTGCTGCATTCTCTAATTTCTTCCAAACGCAAATTAACATACTAATGGAACATTTGCAGTTCTTCTGAAATCTTCAGTTGAAGAGAAAGCTGCACCCTTTGGGGGAAGCATCTGTTTTCCTATCTTCTAAATAGGCTCAAAACATTCTAGCCTCTAATTATCTTTTCGCAAATCAGTTATTTGTTTCATAGGGCTTAATTCTAGCCCTGTGATTCCAAGAGCATACATCCTATGAAAAAAACTTTGGACTTCCCAAAAGGAATCTTAGAAGCCAGTACCTGATACCGCGTCATCAGGCACATAATCAGTGTGACTGAATCGTGAGGCCATGAGCACCCCGTTCAGGTCTTGTTCTCATCAGCACTCATTTTGCCCACCATATTTAAGCACATTGCAGATCCTACCCTCAACTTACGAGTGGACCAAACTTTCCTTTGATGTTTAGTTCTAAACTGAACATTAACTCTTTCGATTCTAATTCTCTCTGATTTGCCATCAGAGCATCTATCAATCAGCAGAGATCAGTAAGTGATCAGACACTCCTCTGTCCCCTTTGGACCTGTTATACTCTTTTGCTTATGGTGTAGTCCTGACATTTGGACCTCAGGTGCCCCAGACAGAACCACTGGTCTCAGAGCTGAAAGAGGATCAAGCCAGGTGCTGAGTGTGATGACTGTGATTGTGAAAGAGACTGAGCATGTGTGTGTACGGGGCTGGTTATGTCTGTGCGTACACACCGGCCCCTCAAGAATACCACTCCTCCTCCCCTAAATTGCAGGCAGTCCCAGCAGGGTGTGACTTTGTGCCTGAAAGCCCTTAGATTTTGGAATCGGAAAATTCTATTTAGGACTCCCCTGGCGGTCCAGTGGTTAAGACTCCGCGCTTCCACTGCAGGGGGCGCAGGTTTGGTCCCTGCTCGGGGAACTAAGATCCTACATGCCGCACAGCGCGACCAAAAAAAAAAGAAGAGAAAATGCTATGTCTTGACTGACCCCTTAGCCAGGTCTTTAGCCATCTTGAGTGTAGTGGCTCTGATTCGCTGGGCCAATCTTCAGAGGACGAGCTGCCCTTGCTTTCCAGAGTGATCCCATTTCTTAATCCGTGGGTAATGGGGTTGAGTCAGAGTGCAAAGGAATGAAGCTGCTGGCGAACAGTAAGCCTCGCAAGGGGCCGACTCTTGCTGGCCCAGGTCAGAGCACCGGGAGCCTGTGTTTATGGGGTACCTTCTGTGTGCAGGGCCCTGCACAGGACAAAACAGTAAACATCATCATCCTAGCCTTTGAATGGCTATAAGCCTGGTTTGGAGAGGTTGACTTAACGGGCCCAAAAAAGAGAAGATTTAAGCAGCGCCATGCCCCCTTTTTTTAAACTCCCATTCTATTTTTACCCGAGGCTATTTTCCCTAGAGAAGTATGTCAGAAAGTCATGGGGACCAGGCAGGGGCAGGGAAGAGGTTTAGGATGGAACAAGGGAAGCTGGTGTGTGAGGGGGAGTAGCCAGTGAAGGAAATGAGATTCTTCTTTCTCTCTAAGGCTGCCGCCTTCACCCAAGCCTTGGAATTCAACCCTTCTCACCTCTGCCTGTCCGCAAATCTGCCTCTCGTCTTAGTTCTGTCCTCCTCTTCCTTCTTCTCTGTTTTCAGAAAGACTCAGAGTGTCCTTACGGTAGGAGAAAAAAAAAACTTGCCCGTCTGCCCCGTGCCCCTGTGCACCCTGGTCTCACACTCTCGGTCGGCTGGCCTTAGTTCGGTACCTGCCTGTCCTCAGCGTGATGCCCCATTTCATTGCATTCTCCTTCGTTTTCCTGGGAGGTTCTTCGAATGACTCATTTCCGTCGGCCACCTCCATTTTCTAACCCCCTTCCCACCCCTAACACTTTGCAGTCTGGTTTCTACTCCCAGTCACTCTGCTATTAAAACAAACAGACAAAGAAACATTGCAAGTCCCAATGGGTGGATGATTCTGATTGTTACGTTCTGGCATTTGACGTGGCTTGAGCCGTCTCTTCCTTGTCAGTTTTTTCCCCTCGTTTCACTCGATTGTTTTCTGTCATTGTTGAGGCTGTGTTTCCTTCATGTCTGTCCCCTCCTCAGAAGTCAAGCCTTTCCTGAGATCCAGTCCTTTCTCCTGTGTTCTTTTCCCTCCCTCCCACCTTTTCTCTCAAAATCCCCTCATTTTGGTGGCCTCCACTGACACCTGCATCTCTCAGCCTCAGTGTCAGTTCCCTTTGATGACCGGCTGTCACCTTAAACTCAGCGTATCTCAAGAAGCAGACTGATGCTTCCCCCACACCAGCTGGCCTTTCCTCCCCGCCTCCGTCTCCTTGGTACCTCCTTTCTCCAAACAATCCAGATTTCAAACCTTGGAGCCATCTTTTCCTTCCTTTCTGATACCCTCTCGCCAGGTTCTGTGCCTTTTTCCCTCTGCTGTGTCCTCCTTGTCATTCTCACTGCCTCACTCTACTCCATGCCCCTGTCGCCCGGTGCACAAGTGTGGAATAAAGTGTCCATCCCCAGACTCAGGATCCCTGGTCTTTTCTCAGCCTAAGTCCTCCTGGTCTATTTAATTCCTGTCCATCTTCTAAGACCTTCGCCAAGCTCCCCTTCTTTGAGAAGCCTTCTCTGACAACTGAAGCCAACAGTGAACACTTTTGTCTCCTGAATCACTCTAGCATTTATGGTCTACACCAGAAGTCGCAAACAGCCATATCTCATTAAAAATAAAAATAAAAATAAATTTCTTTTTAAACTAATTGCTATCATTTAAAAATCAGACTCTTTTCACATAACAGTGCTAACTTCTGGCTTCTCTTGAAAGTCCAGAGGGCCTGGTGATGCTGGGTCTGCTTTCCCGCGTGGTGACATTGCTCTGACGCCAAGGAACAGCTGCTGCGTCTTGGCCGACCACGCCCTCCCCACCCCGATCCCGCACCTCCAGTGCCCATCCGGCTCCTGCAGACGATTGTGTTTGCGACCCTAGTCTATACCATTTTTCTGCCACGGCTTAGCAAACACGTCTTGTCTTGTTCATTGCTGTTGTGCGTTTGCCTGTGTGTCTTATGTGTTCTTCACACGTAGACTGCTCTCATCCCAGGGGCGGGGGGGCCGCTGTGAACTCTGGGTGCCTGCTGCAGGGCCTTGCATGTCAGAGGTCTGTGGTTTGAGGAGCAGCCCCTGCGGTGGAGTTTGCCTCCGGAGTGGCCTCTAGGTCAGCGGCTCTCACCTCCACCCTCTGCCAACCTTCCACCGAGGTGGGGGAGGGGCACCCTGCCCAGGGTTTACTAGAAAGTTCCAGCAGGAGTCTGGATTGTGCCCGCCTCTCAGCATAGTAGGGTCGGGCATGGGGAGGTGATGGCAGGAGTCGTTTGCAGAACTCCCCTGGGTGATTCTGATGTATCTGCCCAGGCAAAGGGTCAGCTGGCCCTTTTCTGCCTGTGTTGAGAATCATTGCTTTAGATAAAAGGGAGAAAGTATTCAAGGTAAGATCTGGCCTTTGAGAGGACTGTCGCAGAGCTCTGAGAAGGGCCAGGCCCTTGGATGCTTCTTGTGTTTGGAATTCCACTGACCAGGGCCGGGGCTGAAGCCAGGGACGAGGGGCCTCCGGACAGTTCTGAGAGTGGCCACTGCCTTCCGCCCTCCCCACCCCTTCCTTTAACCTTTACCCTACTTGCTCTTTCCATCAAGTTTTGACTTTTCACAAGCGCCCAGGTCTGCGGGTTTGTGGGATCTCACTTTCCTTCCTGTGATGGGCCCCGCCTGCTCTCACGTGTAGGGCAGTGTCAGAGCCACGCTAGGGTTACACTGCCTGCCTGGAATCCAGGATTCGAATACCAGAGTGGCTGAAGGACACACGTCCACAGGCTGAGAGGGACGTGAGCCCTTCCTGTCGCTGGAAAGAACCACGCTTCCCCAGTGGAGTATTTTCCACCAGCTGGTGTGCCCCCTTTGGCTTCTGTGTGCTTCTCAGTCAGTGCTGGATCTCTGCACCCCGCCAGGCAGGCTGGGCCCAACCACACCCCTCTTACTCTCCTTCAATACATCCATGTCCGAAATGCCTGTTTCTGTTTCCTGCTTTATTGTATGTCTTTTTGCTAAGCTGCCTCAAATCTTTTGTGGAACGAAGCAGAGCATGTGACTGGAAAATAATATGCAGTATTGCTTTGCTGCTGTCGGCACAGCCTCCAGCCTCAGCTGCCTTGGGGCTACATTCTCTCCTACTCAGAACCTTGGACTCTTTGGGGATATGGCACCAGAAGTGCTGCATGTCCTGGAGATGTCGCCTCTAATAGGGGTTGGCATGGGCCCTCTCCAGTCCTGTATGACAATGCTTGGCCTGTGTTTAAATTTTTAAGAAATTATTTCCTTTTTTAATGGAAGGAGTCTATTTCTCGTCCTCTAGGTAGAAGACCAGTTATGCTTTTCATGGCTAGATAAATTTCAGTGAAAACAGTGTGCCTAGATGGACCATTGGTTTTAGCGCAAGGCAGCCCACCCGTCTCAGGTAAATGCGGGTGTGATGCTGGGCCAGAAGCACCATCGCAGCTTCCACTGGGCATCTTGCATTGGGTGCCACGTGGGCGCGTCAGGGCGCTGATCCACTGGTCACCTCCCCAGCCTGGCACACATTTTGTACCCTAGTAAATGGGAACTGACAAAAGCGAAGAGAATAGATGCTTCCCCCTTTCCAAATCCTTGGCTACGGGCTTTAAAAAAGAAAGAAAGAAAAATCCCCTTCAGTAGTTTGGGGGAGGAAATAACTTGGCAATGCCGTGAGGTTGTCTAGTGTCTTACTGAATGGTCTGCTGCTCTAGATAAGTGGGCAGAGAAGCCCGCCTTCGGGACGCCTTTGGAAGAACACCTGAAGCGGAGCGGGCGTGAGATCGCGCTGCCCCTCGAGGCCTGCGTCATGCTGCTCCTGGAGACGGGCATGAAGGAGGAGGTGAGGCCCCGCCGCCCCGGCCGGCCTCTGCGGACCAGTGGCTCTCCAACCGCGCTCACCGTGACCACATTTCACGCTGAGACCCTGTCCATGTTGCCGTGGTAGACCCTAAATGAAACAGGGTTTCACAGAGCAGTACTTACCTTGCCTACCTGCAGTACACTCTGCCTTTTTCTTGTTGGTCCCATTTGATTATTTCATTTTACACTGTGGTTGTGATTTGTGAAAATGAATTTCATGAGGTGCTGTAGAACCAGAGCTCCCATGAGCTTTAGAGTCTAATAACACGAATTTTATATTTGTGTAGAACTATGTTGTCGGGTGGAAGTGGGAGGGGCATTTACATACTTTATTTTGTGGAATCCTTACCCAGAAAACCCCATGAACCAAGCAGGGCAGGTCTCATTACTCTTCTTGTGTAGACAAGGAATTCAGCACACAAGGAATTCATGCCGGGGCAGAGCTAGAATCAAAACACAAGTCTTCTTTTAACCTTTGAAAGCTTAGTATTGAAGTGTAACATACATATAGGAAAGTGCATGTATCATAAGTGAACAGCTTGATACATTTTCACCATCTGAACTCACCCATATAATCAGCACCCAGATCAAGAAACCCCCTGGGGAGCCTTCCTTGCATTTGCTTCCAGTCACGCCCCCACACCCTGACCCCATCAACGTGACCTCAGCTCCCAACAGCCTAGATGAGAGCTCCTCACCCAAGGCCAGTTTCACTGCCTCCGGGGAACATTTGGCAAGGTCTGCAGACATTTTTGATTGTCACAACTTGGGGAGCAGGGGGAAGAGTTGCTACTGTCTCTCCAGGGGGTAGAGACCAGGGATGCTTCTAGACATCCTTCAGTGCACAGGACAGCCTCACAACAAAGAATTATCTGGCCCAAAATGTCAATACTGCTGAGGTTGGGAAACTCTGCCTAGATTAATGTTGCTAAAAGCCCAAGCCATAAAAGTGCTGGCCCAACGTCTCCATCAGGCCTGCTCCCGTGGCTGACCTGTCATGGGTTTTTCTCCGAGTAACATTTAGGGCAGTGAAAGTGACCGGTAGTCAAGCCTAACAATTTTTCTTGAGATTTCAGTTTTTAAAAAATATTCCTAAATTTAGAAAATCCATGGTGATCAACCTGGTGGGAGTATGAAATATAGCTTTTAAATAGATTCCTAACAGGCATGGTTATTTTGGCAATGGGGCAGGGCACGAGCTAGCACTGATTGAAAATGGTCTGCTCTCTGCCTGTCACTCTGCCCGGGGTACAAGCTCAGTCCTCTTTACTCCTCCCGGCAGCCCTGCAGCTCTCCTGGATAAGCTGTGCTGGAGCTGGGGGGGGCGGGGTGGGTGGAAGGCTCTTGCATCAGATTTTTACTGCCACTCAGTGTAAGGCTCACAACTTGAACTTGATACTAACGGCTTTTCATTGTCTTTAGGGCCTTTTCCGAATTGGGGCTGGGGCCTCCAAGTTAAAGAAACTGAAAGCTGCTTTAGACTGTTCTACTTCTCACCTGGATGAGTTCTACTCAGACCCCCATGCTGTAGCAGGTGAGCTCCAAGGAGGCGCTCTCAAGGTGGTAACAGATCATCAGTTAAAGATCCAATATTAAGTGACAGTTAAAATTACATGGTCTCCTTATAAGTTTAAGTGACAAAACTGAAATGACAAATAAAACTGAAAAGCATGTGTGTGTACACTTACACATACATATCTTTTCTAGTCCTGTTTTGGGGGTTTTGTTTTGTTTTCCTGGTTATTAAGTAAAGGTGAAGGTAGCTTATAATCCAAATGTTTAGAGGCGTGCTTTTACTTTCTTCCCTTTTACCCCCAAATCTCCATCTGCCTAGAGAGGTGATGTCTTATTAAGAAGATAGCTTTGAAACGAATTTTATTTTCCATTGATCTCTCAATATATTTTATGAGGGATGGAAATTGTTTTATGAGCATTTCATTCTGTAACCACTCCTGCCAATTCATGATTTATTCTATACATTGTGAACGGTTATAGTTGAGATCATTTCAATTTGCAAAATAATATATCCTGAGAGTTCCGGCCTTGCCCCTTGTCATACTCAAAGAGGGTGTTAATAATTTCAGGTGCTTTAAAGTCCTATTTACGGGAACTGCCTGAACCTTTGATGACTTTTAATTTGTATGAAGAATGGACACAAGTTGCAAGGTAAGTTTAAAGAACACCTAGTTTTAAAAGCTAAAGGAAATGACGCAATACTCTGTCCCCTTTGTAAATCATCTTATCCTTGGGGATCATAAAAATAACATTAAAGGGCTTCCCTGGTGGCACAGTGGTTGAGAATCCGCCTGCCAATGCAGGGGACACGGGTTCGAGCCCTGGTCCGGGAAGCGGAGCAACTAAGCCCGTGCACCACAACTACTGAGCCCGTGTGCTGCAACTACTGAAGCCCATACGCCTAGAGCCAGTGCTCTGCAACAAGAGAAGCCACCGCAATGAGAATCCCACGCATCACAACAAAGAGTAGCGCCTGCTCACCGCAACTAGAGAAAAGCCCGGGTGCAGCAGCGAAGACCCAACACAGCCAAAAATAAATAAATTTATAAAAAAAATAATAATAACGTTAAAATCGTGTATTTAGAGCTGTGTGGGAACTCAGCTGTGTAATAATATAATGTTACCATTATCAGTAACAATAGTTGATGTTTACTGAGCACTTACTGAGTGCTGAGTACCGTAGTAATCCTTATGCCCATTACTTCCTGTAGCCCGTAATTAATGACATAAAAGGCAGAAGTTGTTGTTATCCTCCTTTTACAGATGAGGAAACTGAGGCTGGGGGAGGAATGGCGTCAAATAATTGGCAGAGCTGGAATTCAGACCCAGAACTCTCTGCCCCAAAGCTGGAGTTCCTGTTGTTTATCCCTTCCCCTCCATTCCCAGCTTCCGTCTGCCCGGAAGTAGTTGGTTTAGGCAAGGCAGTCTTGTTGCAAAAGTTCTAGAGGTTTCTCTCCCGCCGACCAGCCCACCTCCTTGTCAACTTGTCCCTCCCGGTTCTCACTCAGAGGTGCCTAATTCCTCACCTGTAAGGGAAGAGGAACACATCTCCCCTGCCCTTCCACTCCAACCCCCGTCTTCAGATGCAGTCACCCGTTCCCGTCAAATAAGCTGTGTGCTCCGACGAGCTTTATGTCATCATTTGAACCAGGCATCTGAGCTTTTCTCCGTAGCTGTGGAGTGAGAGACTTTGTCCCTGGTAGGTGGTGAGGATTTTAATGTCAGAGTAAGTCCTTGGTCTGGTTGTGTCCTTGGAACCCAGCCCAGGGCGCAGCCTGCCGTGAGTGCCCGTGTTTGTGGGGCTGAAGGAATGGAACCTGCCCTCAGTGTCAGGTCGGGGTTCTAGGGTCTCGTATTGGGTGGGCTCCTTCGCTTCTCCTAGGCCTTGACTCTTCTCTCTGTTCTGAGACTCCCAAACTCATCCTGTGAGGAAATAAGCTGTAAAGGAAGGTATCTGTCCACCGGTGTGTCGCTTCTACACTTGAGAACTGTCATCCCCTCCCAGTGACACGTCAACTAGCTTCTAAAGTATAATCATGTTTAACCCCTACCCGAAGCTCTGCAGGCTGGTTCAGTTGTGGAGGAGGTTTTAAGTCCAAAGGCATGTCGTGTGGGCAACTTCGAACGCTGTGCTGCTGGTGGGCAGAGTTGACTCTGCTTTGCAGGCTCTTTGGGGCTGTGAAAGCTTGCTTGCACGTCGGAACTCTACAGCAGAAGACCTCCAGCAGTTGCTTCACAACAGAAAGGGCTTCTTGGCCTGGAGCCTTTGAGCAGTACTGAGAGCAGGGAGAGACCCAGGGGTCTGGGTGCTGGGAGCATCTGGCTCCCCAAGGCTGTACGTGAATATACACATTTTCTAGACAGAATTTTCACAATGTCTCCTGTGTGCCATGCATTGGTCGAGGGGGTCCCTCCTTGTTCTGCCTCTGAAGCCTCACGGTCACTTGGCAGAATTAACATTCTTATCCCCAGTTTGGCACATCAGGAGACTGAGTCTTGGCAAGGCTGACTAACTGCTCAGAGTATGTTAGTTAGTATTTGACTCCAAATTTCTTTCCCAAAAACTGGGCTTTTAAAAATTTATTTATTTTTTAAATTTTGGCTGCACCATGCAGCTTATGGGATCTCAGTTCCCTGACCAAGGCTTAAACTCGGGCCATGGCAGTGAAAGTGCCAAACCTGATCCACTAGACCACCAGGGAACTCCCGCTGTGCTGTTTTCCAGCTGTGCTTTCTCTGTCAGTAGAGGCATCGCTGTTAATAGAGCAGATGAACACAGGTATTCCTAAAATGAGTATTAATAAATGGTTATGAATAATTTTTTTTTCTCAGTGTACAAGATCAAGACAAAAAACTTCAGGATTTATGGAGAACATGTCAGAAGTTGCCACCACAAAATTTTGTTAACTTTAGGTATGTATGATTGGCATTCTGCAAATTAAGCCACCAAGCTACAGTGAAGAATGGTTTAATCCACAGCAGAGAGGCCATTTAATTCAAGCATGTTTGGCACATCAAAAAAATCCTCTGGAGAGTAACTCGGGTTTGCTGGGAATGGGTTTGGATGTATATCACTGTGATGCATCTGAAGCACATTGATTGTGTCTGGCATTAATAGGTAAGTTGCCTGATCATTTTATCGTTGCAGCTACTGGGGAAAAAAATTCTTGTGGAAAGGTTGACTGACAGTATGTTGGAGTCTAAATTGTCCAGTATCTGCAAGGCAAAAATTAAACAATAGCTGTACTTTCTGTAATGTCTTTCATAAACGCTACATAATTTATTTTAAGCAGAGCACAAATCATCCTACTAAATAAAATTTCAAGAAATGCAGATCCTGTATTAGTTTATGGAATGACTATGTTTTCAGGAAATTTTACCGTGGAATAACTTTCTAGGATTTAACCTCTATTTTCCCTTTGACTTAAAATATAACTTTGAAGAAGCCTAGAGAGAAGGGTAAAAGGTAGCCCCAGGTAACAAAGTCATTTAAAACCAAAGAAAGTGTTGTGAGAGGATTTGGTCCAAAATGACAAGTACTTGACTGGTGAAATTTCTGGTATGCCACTTGACCGTTAATTTCAGTCTTAGGTCCTGTCACCAAGCTAAGCTAAACATTCTCTTTTAACATCTTAACTCTCAATTTTGCCTTATGAGTGCATTGATATATATAATATTCCTTATTTGATTCATTTAACACATCCAGCTTGGAATTGCAGATACTCTTAGCCTATTTAGTGTCTTATGGTGGAGACTGAATTACAGTTCTTTTACTTTGGGATTTAGCCTTTTCTTTTGTTTAATTTACTCATTAAAATGTTTACTAATTGTTTTTTGAATAGGGAGGACATTCCCATGGCTCAAAGTTCAAAGATGTACATTGGAAAAAATCTCTCTCCTCTTCCTCTCTCCCAGCCACCCTACTTCCTCTCCTGAGACACAACCTATGTTTTCAGTTTCTTATATATCCTTTCAGCAAGAGATGATACATATAGAATCAAATATATATATACATATACATACGTACAAACATTTCTTTCTCTCACGGCTTTCACTTTTTTAAAAAACCAAATGGCAATGTATATTATATACATCATTCTCCTCCTTGCTTTCTTTGCTTAATATACATGCTGTAGGTTTGTCCATACCAGTGCTTCTTACTTTTTTATGACTGCATAGTACTCCACTGTGTAGCTGTGTTGTAATTTATTTAATCAGCCCCCTGTTGGTAGATAGTTGGGTTGTCCTTAATTTTTTGCTTTTATAGTGCTGTTCTTGTACATAAGAGAGTATATCTATATGATAGATTGGATATCTTCATAATTACAGCCTAAAGCATTTTCAAATACAGTTTCTTTTAAGCAATATGACTATACTTCTATTTTTTTATTATGTTTGTATTAAAAACATTGATCCCATTGTTAATCATAGTATAATCCATTTCGGGGTAGATAGGGCATAAAGGAGAAACGGATTAGAAATACACAGCATATAGAGATCGAATCTTTGAGGTTTACGTTTGATCTCTTTTCACCTTTCAAGCCCTAAACTATCTGTTCCATGAAACAAAGAACACACCCCGAGCCCGATTTGGATTTAGTCACTTAACACCCTGCAGTTAGCACCTGAGCAGTCTGGGGCTGAGCGCCCCCCAGGCAGGGAGATACTATTCCTCCAAATATTTCAGAGTAGATGCTCTCCCCCTTCTCTTTTGTTCCATAGGTATTTAATCAAGTTCCTTGCAAAGCTTGCTCAGACCAGTGACATTAATAAAATGACTCCCAGCAACATTGCAATCGTGTTAGGCCCTAACTTGTTATGGGCCAAAAATGAAGGGTGAGTAATCATTTCCCATATCCTATTATTTTAACTTCTTTCCGCCTGATGGAAACAATAGAAATGTAACTCACTTCTGAAGTTGATCTTTCCCTTTAGCTAACTTTCTCGGAGCACTGCTGTGAGCTGGGTCCTGTCCCAGACGCTGGTCACACAAAGGTGTAGGAAACCTTGTCCCAGTCCTCAAGGGGCCCCAGTCCTGGACAGCCAGGCAGGTGGACGGCTATAGTGCAGTGATAAGCTCCGCATACACGTCTATGTATCACAGACGTTATAAAGGAGGAACACAGCTCAGGTTGAGAAGTTCAGGAGGCGATGGCACTTGAAGGGCTGATGGATGAATGGTTTCCCACGCGTGGGACCTGAATGAGCCCCGCACAGCGGGTGTGAAAGGGCCTGGTGTCTATATTGGCGGAGGGTGGGGGGGAGCGTAATCACGTGGTCTCATGTAACTTGAGCACAGGGGCCATGAGGCTGTGGCTGAGGTTTATGGAGCTGGACCCTGGTTAGGAAGGGCCTCACGTATCTTGCTGAGATGTTAGGAACTTATTTTACGGGTCACGGGGGGGAAGGGAGCATCAGAATTTCTCAGCAGAATGACTTGATCAAATTGCATTTAGAAAGATAATTTGTTGGCATTGAGAGCTGTAGATTGACTGGAGGAGAGGGATCAGGGAGGTCAGCTAGGAAGCGTCTGGGAAATCACTCACGTTGTTGTCTGCTCTGTCTGGTGGCATTATGATGATCCATTTAATCCTCACAAGTTATCTCTTGGAGTTGGTGCTTTTGTCCTCACTTTTGCAGGTGAGGATTCTGAGGCTTAGAGAGGACGAATAATTTGCTTAAGGTTGCACAGCAGGGAAATGGTGGGGCCCACAGGGTCTGTCCTTAAGCTTCACCACCCTTCCCTGCCCCCCCGTCACTGCTGTTCAGCTTTGTAAAGTCATGAGCGGTTCAGATTTCCATCAAAAAATGCAGGGACTTTCTGAATCAAAATCTTTCTATCTTTGACTCATTCATTCCCTCATGTATGCCCACTCTTGTTTCAGAAAGTATTTATAAGATTCTTTGCAAAGATTCAATGTCATAAAGCAAATGAAAGATAAGTGGATATAAAAGCTAACTACATAGTACGTCACATCTTATAGCAAATAAATTCCAGGAAGACCAAAGAGGTAAATATAAAGAGTGATGTCATAAATATGGCAGGTTAAAAAATAAATAAATAAACATAAACACGGCAGGTAAATATTTATTAGCTTTTGGGATATAAACGAATTTTATAAACAAAATCAGTTCTGAAAACAAATAGATTTAGCTCTATAACAGCTAGAAACTTCTGTAAGTCAGAAAGCTCCTTAAATAAATGGCAATTCACAAACTAGGAGTTCCTCAGAAAATATCCAGATATATAAAAAGGTCTTGAAATCAATAGACAAACAGTACCTCCTCAAAAAGAAAAGTTTGCAAAGAACACGAGTGGACCGTTCCTCCCCAGTTCTAAGGTTCTAAGGTACGGGAGGGATCAGAATCCAGATGGCCAGAGGGAAGTGTGAACAGGTGAGGAGGGTAATTTACAGGCAAAGCTTGCATTTTAAGCTGGAATTTAAAAGGAGCTAGAACTTTCACCTGGTTGGAAATTGGGGTGAAAATGTTCTCCCCAATGGAAAGAGAGGTCAGAGTGATAAAATGAGGAGGGGAGATAGGTTTGGGGCAGTCAGGTGTGGGATCCAGCCTATCAGGGATTCAGTGTCTTCACTTATAAGGCCTCAGAACAGCTGCCATATTGTAAAAATTAAATGCAGGGAGGAATCCGAGGCTGTGAATGTGGTAGGTGCTCAGTAAATGTCAGGCCCTTGCAGCTTGTCTGCTTTCCCGTGTTCTGACTCTGAACTGGATATGAGCCCCTCAACAGCAGGAACGATTCTTCTTTGTTTTCTTCCTTGTGGGCCCTGGGTATTCGGACACAGTCAGCTTCCGGACATGCATCTTGGGACGAGTCCACATACGTGCGTGACAGCCTTAATAATATGTGTAAATGCGGGGGCCCCTGATGATGAGAGGCACCCTGAAACACTGCATACGCTTGGCTGCATTCTAGGCAGAATGGGTTTGTGGTAATCTGGAGACTTAGAAGATGACTCCCAGGGGAAGGACTGTGCCAGTGGGTGAATGCAGCCCTGTCCCCAAACAACTGAAAACCAGCATTTTGACACACTGTTGGTCACTGACTTACACCTAGTTGTTATCACAACACAGACTAAGAAGTGACAGCCGAGTCAGGGCAATTTTTCTTCCTGGGTGATCACTGCCACACCCCTAGGCCAGGGCCTTGTGCATTTAATTTTTGCATCCGTACTTAAATGTTTTATCCTTTTGATATAAAAAATTGAATTGCCCTGACCCAACCTGCAGAAATCAGAGGCTGCCTAGGGGAGGCGTTTTAACTTTGTGAACTTCCTTTGCAGAACGCTAGCTGAAATGGCAGCGGCCACATCCGTCCACGTGGTTGCTGTCATTGAACCCATCATTCAGCATGCCAACTGGTTCTTCCCCGAAGGTAACTGCCACTCCGAGTTCACTGACTCCAAAAGCACAATAATATACAACAATAGTATAAAAAATCTTTTTGAAGAAGCAGATACTTCAGTAATCCCTTCATGATTACATAATTGGCTTCACTTTTTCACGTTTCTTTTTAGACTATTTGCATTCATATTTTGACAAAGCAGTAACCACATTATTGCGTATTTCACTTTGTTTCACTTAACATGGAGTCATTCATTCAGCCAGTGTATACTGAACACTCCCTAGGCGCATATGTTTGCTGGTAAGAAGACATGCTGTCTTCCCTGGAGGAACTTGGTCACTGGAGAAGGAGGCTTCATCATCAGAGAAATTGTAACACATGGCACATTAGAAGGAAGATGGATGGGGAATGAGTTGACAACTCATGCTGGGCACAAAGTGCCAGAGATTGCTTTATAGAAGAGGTGACACTGAATATGCAGGGATCCTCAGAGCTTCCGCGGCTCCCTTTGCGGGTACTGGTTGGGCAAGTGCTGGGAGTCCGGACCTCCCACCCCAGCTTCGCCCAGAGCAGCCCTGCTGTCATCCTCTGGCGTGTAAGCTCCATGAGGCCAGGGCACGCTCATCTTTTCTTTACCACTGACTTCCACCGTCGAGAATCACGCCCCACTCATGTAAGGTTGTGCAGTAAATGTGTGATGGATGAATGAATACTGTCATTCTGTCCAAGATTTCCTTTGAGAAAACGAGTCTTCAAAATCTGCTATAGGCAGTATGGAATTGATGTTGCCTTTTATTTCTATTTAATATCAAGCTGTAAATATCTTATTTTTTATGATTCAGATGAGTATAACCCATGCTCACATTCCTCTTCTGTATTCCATGATTTTTTTTTTTTAACAGAAAGGAAAGCAGGGGAGTTGTGTGACTTGGATTCTGAGTCATACCCCCTCCCCTATTTCTGGTTTTCTTATTTTACCCACCACCCTGGTTTGGTAAACTGTCCTTTAAGAAGGTGAGAGTGCCCGGGGCTTCCACCTGTGAAATAGTGAGGGCTTGTGGATGGAAGAATGAGGCTCCTATTCCAGTGGGGTGTTCTCAAGCTCCCTCAACCCCTGTGCCCTGTGTCTCATATACACTTGTTTCTTTCTTCTGGCAGAGGTGGAATTTAATGTATCAGAAGCATTCGTACCTCTCACCACCCCAAATTCCAATCACTCATCCCACACTGGAAATGACCCTGTCGACTCGGGGACCCTGGAGAGGAAGCGGCCTGCCAGCATGGCGGTGATGGAGGGGGACCTGGTGAAGAAGGAGAGGTGTGTGCAGAGCTATTGACTTTCACACCAGCGGTCGATGGCTCGGAGAGGAGTCGGTGGGCCCACCGTCCCTGGTCCTGCCTCAGTGGGCTTGCCATTGGGGAGTGGCCTGCACCCAGGCCTGTTAGAGTCCAGCTAGTTTCAGGAATTCTGCTTTAGTCCATTCCAAACATTAATCTGACCCCAAAGTAGGTGTGTAGCTTGTCAGTTAACAATCATACCTGACGCATTCGAGCTTTACTTGGTGGTCTCCGATAAGCCCTACACAGTAGCATCACACACATGTTACAAATTCACCTAAATGTACTTGGTTGGGGAAAAAGAAAGAAAAAGAAAAAAAAATGTTAGGTGTTGTGGACGTCTGTCCAGGAGCGAATGTGAGAGCAACCCACCTCTCACAGTGACATGTGCGAGTTGGTGTCTGAAGACATATATTCTCTGTATAACCTGGCCCCTCATTGGAAGCCAACCATAGAAACCTCAGTGTTTGCCAATTCTGGAATCAAAAATAAAGCCTGTGTTGGACTAGTGAGAAACAGTACTAGTCTCTGTTGCTAGGCTCCTTGGGTGATTTGTGGGGTTTTCAAAGGTTGTTAAGGCTATTGGGGATTTTTGCCTTCAGATGCCAGTCTATCCGACATGTGTGCGGAAGTGCCACTGTGTTCACCAATAATGCTGAATTAGAAGTCGTGTGCTTTTCTCGCATACATGCAATAATGTTACTGAAAGTAGTTTTACATTAAAACTAAACAGCAAGCTCTTATTCTAATTGCCCAAACTTATAGTGTGGTCTGTTTTCTGTTTTGCCTTTTTTTTTTTTTTTTTTTTTTAAGCCCATAGAAAAGGAAAAAGCTTTACTTTTCTATTCTGTCACTTCTCTGATCCCACATTCCCACGTTCAGAAGTGCTTCCTGATGACAAACTCTGTCCTCCACAGAATTAGCCTTTATGTATTTTAAGTTACAAAATGGAATGTTATGGGTCTAGTTAGCACACAATAAACAGTTCTTAGCCATCTTCCTGGATGGATTCCCCCCGCCAACTGACCCAGTAGCCACAAGCTCAGGGAGCCATGTGTCTTTTTATTTTTTGAACTGGAAAGAAGTGTTAAAGTTCATACACCAGTGGGCTTCAGTGAAAAGTGAATATCCCTTCTAACCTGTCCTCCAACCACCATCCCCTTCCCAAAAGCAGCTATTTTTCCAATCCTACACATCCTTTCAGATACATTCTTTGCATACGCATAGACCAGTGTTTGTATATCTCAGCCTAAGAGGCAGTGCGATGTGACAGCCTTACGTTGCCACTGGTGGCACTTCTGCACTCAGCTTCCACCTTGATGCCCAAACACAGAGGTTCGAGATAATCGCCTTGTACATCGTACTATGGAAATAAAAACACAAACATGATGTCACTTACTCAAGATGAAGCCTGCCCGTTTGCTTTCAGCTGCCCATACCCACTTTGAGAAAGGGCATCGATGGGTACCAGGTCCAAGTTTAAAGCCCACTTGAGTTGCTTGCCTGGGTAACAGGAGTGACCATTAATCTCGTCCTTGCCGCTTCATTGCATGCTGGGCAACTTGGGTGGCTGTCCCTGCGTGTGGGGTTTTACACGCGAGGACCAATGGGCTTCTGTGTCAGTAGTCGGCTCGCATGGTGTGTTGTTGACTGTTTCTTCTCTCTGTGTAGCTTTGGTGTGAAGCTTATGGACTTCCAGGCTCACCGGCGGGGTGGCACCCTAAATAGAAAGCACATATCCCCTGCTTTCCAGCCACCACTCCCGCCCACAGATGGCAGCACCTTGGCTCCAGCGGGCCCAGAGCCCCCTCCCCAGAGCTCTAGGGCCGAAAGCAGCACAGGGGGTGGGGCTGTCCCCTCCTCTGCGGGCATACTGGAGCAGGGGCCCAGCCCGGGCGACAGCAGGTAAGGAGGCCAGCATCTGCTGGCAGTGGGTGCCAGACACCCCAGCCTTCTTGCAGGCGCTGGCCTGTCTGCATGGCCTCCATGCCCCAAGGATCACTAGGCATGGCGTGAACCAGCTTTGCCTTCACTCTTCCGGTTGGCAAAGGATGGGAAAAAAGACTGCAGATTGCTTGCTTCCTTTCCTGTTTTCAAAAGAAAGCAACATTTGTTTGCATTCTTTACCATACTGCTTTGGGGCTGGGAGCCAGAAGCCGATAAGTGTCTAGCAGTCTTATAAGCCTCTCTTACCTGTTTGATGTGTACTTGTTGTTCGTGTACCGTTTGCTTGTTGTCATTCAGTATGCTAACTAGTAAACATTTGAATGCAACAAGTTAGTGAAGTTATTATATTCCTGGCATTCACTCACTCACCCATTCATTCATCTGTCCATCCATTTATCCATCATTCATCCATCCATCCATCCATCCATCCACCCAATCAGATTTACTGAATAACTGAGTACTGAATAATATGTGCTGTCTCTGCTATACTGAGCATCCCCCCAACCCCCTGGCTTTCAGTCTTGTAGGGCAGGTGATACATGAGTACAAGGTAGAAAATATGATGATAGGTTTTCTTAAAAAGCTCTTTTGTTGCTTCACCTTTTGGTTAACCACGTGGAGTGGACTAAGAATATATAGCAACTTTAAGGAAAAATACCTTTGAAGTCGAGACCTTTATTTGCACAAATTCAGTTCTCCACTCTGACCCAGGCAGATGACCACCAGAGGCCACTTCAGGTGGTATCTCGGGTCGTACAGAACTGGCAGCTGCTATAAAAGATGAGCCCCTCTAGTACGTGCTAACATTTTTATTGCATTTGGTCCACCTTGGCCACCTATAAAGCACTAAATGATTTCATATAAAGTAAAATAAATGATAAAACAAGGATGGCCTGTTAATCGTGTGCTTGTTTTCCGCCCAGAGGTGACTTTGCCTTGGGAGAACTCCCTCACCTCTTCTTTGGGTGGAGAGAGAGTGCCTCGTGCTGTGTGAAGCCAGCTGCTTAGGAGATTGGAATCTCGTTAAATCCTTACAGCTGAGGACTTCGTGCATTCCTGAATACCTTTCTACCCGCATAATTTGAGGAAATTCACTTTTTTGGTTAAAAATATCTAAGGCTTCAAACTCCCTAGTGCTTCACGTGCACGTCGTAAGCTCCACGTTGGTCTTTCCGTAACTGCTACCACACATGTATTCGTTTGGGCTTAAATCTTTTTCTTGGAGAAAAAAAAGTCTTAGCAAACTCTTACACATTTTCATTTACCTGTAGCATTCAATTTGTTTAATCAAGGCTAAATATATTATTTAAGATAATAATTAGTCTTCACTGCAGAAGGACAAATAGAACGTCGGTTATCAATTTGCTCTTTGTTTCTTTTGCTCTGTAGATATTTTTGTGTACATCTCACTAATGCCATTTACTCTTTGGTGACTTTGACAAATTGTAGCTATAAAGTTCAGTATAAAAAGTTCTGAGCCAGGGCTTCCCTGGTGGCGCAAGTGGTTGAGAATCTGCCTGACAATGCAGGGACATGGGTTCGGGCCCTGGTCTGGGAAGATCCCACATGCCGCGAAGCAACTAAGCCCGTGAGCCACAACTACTGAGCCTGCGTGTCTGGAGCTTGTGCTCCGCAACAAGAGAGGCCGCAACACTGAGAGGCCCGCGCACCGCGATGAAGAGTGGCCCCCACTTGCCGCAACTAGAGAAAGCCCTTGCACAGAAACGAAGACCCAACACAGCCAAAAATAAAATAAATAAATAAATAAATTTTTAAAAACTTAAAAAAAAAAAAGTTCTGAGCCAGGAATTAGGAAGCCTGAGCTCTGATCCCTACCCCAGTATTAACCAACTCTGGGCCCTGAGCAATCATTTAGCCTCTCAGAGTTTCTCTTTCCTGAAGTCCAAATTATTGATAATAATTGAGTGCTTTGTAATTTAGAGCAGTGTTAGTATTTTGCTATTGCATTTGCTTAGTTTTGTGCAATGTATATGGCAAAATCGCATTATTCTGAAGTCCAAAAACCCTTTCATGTGTTTAAATACTGCCCAAGTTGAGTGCAAGCACACTAGAACTTGAAATGGCCTCTATCATGATATTTAAGTGGCAAAGTAGTTGGAAGATAGTCTGATGCCATGAGTCTCATAAAATATGTGGTCCTGTGTGGCACCAAATATTAGCTTCACAGACCCAGTGTGAGCTGTTTAAACTTTCAGATCACCTCCTTGCCCGCTGCAGTGAAAACTCTAGCTGGAATTTGATATTTTACAGCATGTTTAGCTTTTATAGCTGGGAATGCCTGACATCTAACTTGGCTTCTGCTTCCCTTAGTCCTCCAAAGCCCAAGGATCCTGCGGCTGCACCTGCACCCGGGAGAAACAGCAGTCAGGCGGCCCCCGGCCAAAGCCAGGCCCAGGCCACTGCCGGCTCCCATCAGCTCTCTGTGGGCCCTACGCACAATTCCGCCGGCCCGAGCCCTCACACGGTGCGCCGAGGTAAGTCACCACCTTTACTCCGCACCCTTGGGGAGGGATGTGCAAACCTTCCTGGGTCGGTGCAGGGGTCAGGTTGAGAAGCTTGTTCCGATGGTTCCATGTCTGTTATAAAATGGCAAGCAGAAAAACCAGTCGTTAAGGAAAAGAATCATTAAAGGGAGATGGAAAAATGGAGAACAGAAAAGCAGACATTTAAGAATATGTTCAAGCTACAAAGCTTAACAAACAGTCATTTCTCCAGAAATGCCCCCCATTTTCCAGGAATCTGGCGCTCCAAGCCCTCGCTCTGTTTTGGAACTGCCACAGCCTGGCCCGTGTCCCAGCCAGGCTTCGTGAGTCTGGGAGCACTCATGCCCTCTGGATTGGGATCAGGGCCTTCTAGTTCCCTATTCACATGTAATCTGAACTGCTCCCACTTACGCCCTCGTGGTCCTCCACCTAGCAGCCAGGGAAATGGCTGTTTTTTCTTTCTTTCTTTCTTTCTTTTTTTTTGCGGTACGTGGGCCTCTCACTGCTGTGGCCTCTCCCGTTGCGTAGCACAGGCTCCGGACGCACAGGCTCAGCGGCCATGGCTCACGGGCCCAGCCGCTCCGCAGCATGTGGGATCTTCCCGGACCGGGGCACGAACCCATGTCCCCTGCATCGGCAGGCGGACTCTCAACCACTGCGCCACTAGGGAAGCCCTCTTTTTTTAATTGAATGAAGGATTCTTTAAATTCTATATTGCTTTACAATTTTCAAAAGTTTCACACAAATGATTTCATATAATCCCATAATAACTCTCCTTTTTTTTTCCCTACTCCTATCTTGCACCTTCCCCCTTCCCTCTCCCCACTGGTACATTCCCTATATCTGTGAGTCCACTTCTTTTCTGTTTTACTCACTAGTTTGTTGTATTTTTTAGATTCCACACATAAATGACATCCCATAGGATTTGTCTTTCTGTCTGACTTATTTCACTCAGCATAATGCCCTCCAGCAGGGGGTGGCTTTAAAACACAAAGCAGAGCGTGTCATCCTGGCTGAAGCTCTCCAGTGCCTTCCATGCAGACCTCCCACCATGCACCCTGCGTGGCCTGGCCACGTGGTCTGGCCGGGCCGCCTGTGAGCCCAGCTCTTCCCCTGCCCCCTCACTCACTTCAGCCTCGCTGGTCTGCACTCTGCCCCTCAGTGCACTAACCTTATTCCCTCTTTAGAGCTTCCACACGTGTTCTCTTACAGAACGTTCTGTCCCACGTCTTCTCATGGTTTCTTCTTTTTTATTTTATCGGGGTAAGAGCACAACATGAGATCTACCCTCTTAAATATTTGTGTACAGTATCCAGTACCGTACTCTTAAGTGTACACTACAGTATTGTACTACAGGCCCAACGATGTAAAGCTGCCTGACATAATTGAAACCTTATGCCTATTGAATACCAGCTCTCCGTCACTCCCCACCTCTCCTGCATACCCCCAGCCCCTGGCAGCTCCCATTCCACTCTCTGATTCTAAGAGTGTGACTATTTTAGATGCTTCATGTAAGTGGAATCGTGCAGTATTTGTCCTTCTGTGACTGGCTTATTTCACATGTCTTTAAGGTTTGTCCATGTTGTTATATATATGACAGAATTTCCTTCCTTTTTAAGGCTAAATAATATTCCATTTTATATATACACCACATTTTTTTAATCCAGTCATCTGTCAGTGGGCATATAGGTTGTTTCCATGTCTTGGCTATTGTGAATAATGATGCTTCAGTGACCATGGATGTGCAAATAATCTCTTCAGGATCCTGATTTCAGTTCTTTTGGATAAATACCCAGAAATGGGATTCCTGAATCAATATGGTAGTTCTATTTTTAATTTTTTTTAGGAGCCTCCATACTGTTTTCCATAATGGCTGTACCAATTTACATTCCCACAAATAGTGTATGGGAGTTCCAGTTTCTCCGTATTCTCACCAGCACTTGCTGTCTTTTTTTTTTATATTAGCCATTCTAGCAGATGTGAGGTAATATGTCGTTTTTGGGTTTGATTTGCATTTTCCTGATGGTTAGTGATGTTGAGCACCTTTTTATATGCCTGATGGCCATTTTTATGTCATCTTTAGAGAAATGTCTATTCAAGTCTTTAGTCCATTTTATTTTATTTATTTATTTATTTTTGGCTGTGTTGGGTCTTCGTTGCTGCACGTGGGCTTTCTCCAGTCGTGGTGAGCAGGGGCCACTCTTTGTTGTGGTGTGAGGCCTTCTCACTGCGGTGGCTTCTCTTGTTGTGGAGCACAGGCTCTAGGCGCGCAGGCTTCAGTAGTTGTGGCACGTGTGCTCAGTAGTTGTGGCTCACGGGCTCTAGGGCACAGGCTCAGTAGTTGTGGCGCACGCACGTAGCTGTTACGTGGCATGTGGCATCTTCCTGGACCAGGGCTCGAACCCGTGTCCCCTGCATTGGCAGGTGGATTCTTAACCAGTGCACCACCAGGGAAGTCCTTTTAGGCCATTTTAAAATCAGGTTGTTCGTGAGACTTCCCTGGTGGTCCAGTGGCTAAAGACTCTGTGCTCCCAAAGCAGGGGGCCTGGGTTCAATCCCTGGTCAGGGAACTAGATCCCACATGCCACAACTAAGACTTTGCATGTCTCAACTAAAGATCCCGCATGCCACAACGAAGATCTCGCGTGCAGCAATGAAGATCCCTGTGTGCCGCAACTAAGATCCAGTGCAGCCAAATAAATAGATAATTTTTTTAATTTCTTTTTTTTTTAAATCAGGTTATTCATTTCTTTGCTATTGAGCTATAGGAGTTCTTTATATATTTTGGAAATTAACACCTTGTCAGATACATGGTTTGAAAATATTTTCTCCCATTCTGTAGGTTGCCTTTTCATTCTGTCATTTCCTTTGTTGATTGTACCAAAGCTTATTAGTTTGATGTAATCCCACACATCTATTTTTGTTTTGTTGCCTGTGCTTTTGGGGTCATATCCATGAAATCACTGCCAACACAAATGTTATGAAGCTTTCCCCCTGTGTTTTCTTCAAGGAGTTTTACAGTTTCAGGTCCTATGTTTAATCCATTTTGAGTCGACTTTTGTGTATTCTGTAAGGTAAGGGTCCAGTTTCATTCTTTTGCATGTGGATATCCAGTTTTCCCAGCATCATTTGTTGAAGAAACTATCCTTTCCCCATTGTGTATTCTTGGTACCCTGTCGAAGATCAATTGACTGTATAGGCATGGATTTATTTCTGTTCACTCTATTCTGCTCCACACACGGTTCCTCCATCATTCAGGTCTCAGCTCAAAGAGTACTTCCCCGGTGAACCCTCCTTGACCACCCAGTCTGAACTGATGACCACCTGCCAACCCCACCACTCACATAAATTATTCTCTGTCACATCACTCTATTTCTCTCAGAGCCTTTTCCTCCATCTGAAATTTTTTAATTTGTTTTTTAGCGTATTGCCAGTCTCCCCTAGTAGCTCTTAAAAGAGCTGGGATTTTACCCGTCTTATGCACTCCAGTATTCCTAGCCCTTGTCCTGTGCCTGTCACAGAGAGGGCACTCACATATGTGTGGTCTGAGAGCTCCAACAACTTAGATCTAGAACAACTTGGGATGATTTAGCTGTCCCCCACCATCCGGGACATTTGGCAATGTCCGGAGACGTTTTTGGTTGTCACAGGCAGGGAGGGGAGTGGTATTGGCATCTAGCGGGTAGAGGCCCGGGATGCTGGTAAACATCCTACAATGTGCAGGACAGCCCCCAGCAACAAAGAACTATCTAGCCCAACATGTCAGTACTGCTGAGGTTGAGAAACTCTGGTCTAGAAAGGGACATGATTTACTGAAAATGCTTCTAAAGCCAGTTAAATTCCATGTGAACCATGGTGCCCTGTCTTAACTCCCAACTGTATTTATTGGAGGATGGATAATCTTCAATATGAAATGACATACATATTTTAAAATTTTTTGAATTTTATTTAATTTTAGACTTAAAGGAAAGTTGCAAAGATAGTATAGAGAATGCCCATATAGTCTTCGCTGGGCTTCTCTTAATTTTACTATCTCACAGAACAACTACTGAAATCAGGAAATTAACACTGATACAATATTATTAGCTAAACTTCAGGCTTTGACCAGATTTCTGAGTTTTTCCAGTAAAGTTTTCTTTCTGTCCCAGTATCAATCCAGAATCCCATGTTGCATTTTCTTTTAAGATGTACAATACAATGTGATGACTTAATATATGTATACATTGTGAAATAATTACCACAGTCAAGTTAGGGGGTTAATATCCAACATATATAAGAAACTCATACAATTCAATAGCAAAAAAACAGATAACCCAATTGAAAAATGGGCAAAGGATATATTTCTGAGTCCGTATCACTTTAATATCTCCTCTGTAACCAGGACTGGGGAAATAGAATAAATAACAGTTTTGCTGTTGAAAAATCTTAAGAAGGCTTTCCTCTGAGCCACCACCACCTTCATCTGTATCCCAACTGGTGCTCAAGGGAAATTAGGTCTTTTCTACCTGGATTCCAGGTAGAGCCCCTGCTTTCAGGTTGAGGTTCCTTCGTAGCCCCATTCGGAGTCTTTCCTGCTTCCTTCTTCCTGCAATCATAGATCTCAGTTTGATCCTTTGTGTGCCATCCCCCACCCTGGCTCAGCCTCCCAGCACCTTCATGGTGGCCTTAGACAAGGCCTGTCTTGCTCCCAGCCTGGCCTCCACGATGGACGTGGCCAATGTGGGACTTGAGCCTTATCACGCTACTCTCATGCTTCCTCTTCTAATTCCCTCTGCTCCCTTAAATGTCAAGAATGATCTTTTATCCAATATGAATTTATAATTAATATTGCTTAGAACAGAGAGCTAGAAACTTTTCAAGTTGCTTATGATATCCAGAGTGTGGCTAATATTCCAGATTCCTTTGTCAGCTGGTTGGTTGTTTCTGTGGGAAAAGGTCTTCCCAGTTCTGGGATCAGAAGTTCTAGGCCAATAGAGTAGACTTTATACTCCTTTCATTCCTGAATCCTGGCCCCTATGAGCAGGAAGCCAGGCAGTGCACTAAGAAGGAAGAGGGAAAAAAGAGTCCAAGGAGTCCACAGGACATGGTGTGAGCCTCTGTTCTGCTCCGTACTGGCTGTGTTACCTTTTACAAACACTTGACCTCTCTGAGCCTTGGTTTTCTGCACCGTGAAATGGATATAACAATGCCTGTTTTGCGGTGTGCTTGTGAGACTTAAATGAGACAATCTATGTAAAGGGCCCAACTTAGTGCTGGTCATGTGTTAGGTGAGTGATACATGTTCATTTCTTCCCTTTGTTTCCCTCTCCCTTCCTTAGGCGATTAGTAAGATCTCAGCAGAACTTGAAATATGCTAAAGTCTCTCCTTTCCACCCAACCTCTCAGCCCAAAACCAGTCTCCAGACTTGTTTTTTCTACCTACCTTACCATCCTCAGTACCAAATTCCCACCCGCCAGTTGTGCTGATCTCAGCTGGTGTAGGGAGGAGACTGATGTGATTCAGCTGTCCTTAGAGCTGAATCTAAGGCGATCGTCCGGATCTGTACTTTTATCTAGAATATATCTATTAGCACAAGTGATTCTGGAATTCATAGAATTTCTGTTATTAAAAAAAAGTCAAGTCCTCTAGGAGAAGATGGCTTAGAGCAAGGGGCCCATGGTCTGTACAGGCAGACCAGTCGTGCTTAGGGGTCCCCCACCCCACCACCGCTTAGCTGCTCTTGCTTCTCTGTGTCTCTTCTCATGAGAGAAGGTTGCTGTCAAGTAGGCTTTGAGCGGAGACTCCATGTAGGCGGGGTGGCCTCCATTAACTGAGTTTTCTAATTATTCAACTTTTAAAATGACAGGTCTGTAAAGACCTATATGTGTATAATGTACTTTTAAAAAATAACCTTTTGATTTTGGAATAATTTTAGATTTACGGGAAAGTTGCAAAGATAGTCTGGAGTTCTCGTATACCCCTGACCCACTTTCCTCTGTTAACATCTTACATCACCACAGTACATTTATCACGGCTAAGAAACCAACGTTGGTACATTAGTACTAACCAAACTCATTTTGTTCAAATGTCACCGGTTTTTCCTCTAACAGCCGTCTTCCAACACCTGCTGGCTCCCACCCAGAAGAGCACAGGGCATTTACTCATCACGTCTCCTTACTCTCCTCTGGCCTGTGACGGTTTCTCCATCTTCCCTTGTTTTCTCACGGCCTTGACAGTTCTAGGGAGTACTCGCATTTTAAAGACAGTCTCTCAATTTGCGTTTGTCAGAGGCTTTTTTCATGGTTAGACTAAGACTGTGGGTTTGGGGGAGGAGGACCATGGTGGTGAGGTGCCATCAGCTGGTGTGGTATTGGGAGTGGGCGTGGGTGCTGATCTCAGCTGGCTTACACCAGCCTCGGTGCCCTGGCCTGGGGGGCGTTGGCCATCACCGTGCTGCTCTTCCTGAGAGGTGTTTTTCCTTCGTGCAGCTGTTAAAAAACCTGCTCCAGCACCCCCGAAACCTGGAAACCCGCCTCCTGGCCATCCCGGGGGCCAGAGTTCTCCAGGAGCATCTCAGCATCCACCCAGCCTGTCACCAAAGCCGTCCACCCGAAGCCCTTCTCCCCCAACTCAGCCGCCCGGCCAGGCCCCAGGCCAGACCTGCGCCACCTCGCAGCTCTCCGCACCCCGGAGATACTCCAGCAGCCTGCCTCCGATCCAAGCCCCCAGCCACCCGCCGCCGCAGCCCCCCACGCAGGCCACACCGCCGCCAGCGCTCACCAAGCCAGGCAGCCAGGGCCCGCCGGCCCCCGGGGCCCTGCCCGGTGAGCCCGGACTCGAGCCGTCCTCCCACACCCCTCCCCAGACGCCGACGCCCCCCAGCACTCCGCCCCTAGGAAAACAGAACCCCGGCCAGGTGGTGAGTAACCCCGAGACCGCGCAGCCACACGCTGGAACCTTGCCGAGACCGAGACCAGTACCAAAGCCGAGGAACCGGCCCAGCGTGCCCCCACCCCCTCATCCTCCTGGCGCCCACCCCGCCGGGGATGGCAGCCTCAGCATCGCAGCTCCCACCTCCTCCAAAATAGTCACGGGTAAGTGGGAAGTGGGTTCAGACATTTCCCCCTGTCCACTCTACCTGGCTTTTTACTGCTCCCCCTCATTTAGGCTTTCGTTTATATCAGGGGTTGGCAAACTACCACGCAGGCCAGATCTGGCCCTCAGCTTGTTTTTATAAATAAAGTTTTATTGAAACACAACTACGCCCAGTTGTTGACATATTCTTTCTGGCTTTCGTGCTAAAACAGCAGAATTGTGTAGTCCTTTCAGAGGTCATATACTTCCAGAGCCTTCAAAGTTACTACCTCGCCCTTGAAGTTTGCCAACCCCTGATGTATAGGTTCACTATGTGTTTAAGAGCCATCTACATTTACATTTTTCTAGGTATAATGACCTAGTAATCCAGGTGGAAGGTATTGTACAACTTGAGCATGACATCCATTTCTTAGTGAATCCCTCATTAAAATGAGTAAAAATATTCATAGAAAGTGAAGCATTTCAGGTATAATCTTAAAAAACGTGATTTGTGCCAAATTGGATGCTCTGGGAAGGGAGATTTGGGACACGATCATATGAGAGTGCCAGCCTCTAGTGGCAAAGGACAGAAGAATCAATATTTCCTCATAATTCCATGGAAATCTGTTTTGGGTATTGGTGACTGTACAGATTTTACCTACCTAATGGGGTATTTTTTTTTATAGACAGTCTAGAACATGACCATTTTCTTTAATTATGATTCTTTTAAAAATTTCTGTCCCAAGTGCTCTAATTTACTATTTGATTTAAGGATGGGATGGATAGATTTTTTTTTAGTGTGTTTTCTTAAAATGGTAATTAGGTACTTTGAATCATATCTTAGAACAGCCTAGTTTTAAATTTTCCTAAGCGGAGCCATTTTTAGAGAAGTAGCCGAAATATACCTCTGGGCCCTCCAAGCGTCCTGAATGACATCTCTGCTGAAAATGAGCAAAGGATACACCCCACACTGGTACCCTAAGTGATGAGGGTTAACCGACTAGTCTTTCTTTGGATAACTTTTTTTTTTCAGGAATATAATGCATGATTTGTGTGTGTTATAAATTGTTAACTTTTTTTCTGATGACAGTTCAGCTTTTATGTTTAAAAAAACAAAGCTACATTGGTGTGTTTGTTTCCCAATAGATGCCCTTCCTAGCGCCCTCACAGGTGGGGAAGGTTTCCAGGACTAAGGTCTGTAACCCCCCCAAGCAGCTTCCTGCAGCTCCAAATGCTCCTGCTTAGCGGTGTTTCGCATACATGCTTTTGACTTTGTGCTCAGGAGCAGCCATCTGACCCCCTGCCATCCATTCTCTAGACATCACTTTTGTTTTTGTCAGAAGCACTTTGAGCTGCAAATGCTTCGAATTCAAGAGGTAGATGTCAGTAGATTGCAAGCCCGATTTCAAGCCGCTCAGATAAGATACTAAGAAATGTCTCCTTTCTTTTTGGTAAGCCTTTCACAAGCATTCTGCTCTTTTCAGCGTGATTTCCCTCTCATTGATTGGCTCATCAGCATCCATCCAAAGAGGCCTCGGGTGCAGTTAGCACGGAAAATTGCGTCCCTTGTGTCTTGAGCTTTAAGTTTTAATTTTATCTCTTAAGTGCAAGTTAACTGCATGGAGCTTCTTAATTTGGTGTTTGAATTTCTCAGGACCCGCCCCCCCCCAAAAAAAATCTTCCTCCAAAGATCCCACACTAAATTTCTTTGCATTCTGGCATGCTTACATTTTGCTTTCTTAAACCATATGAGCTTTTTGAGAGGTACTGTGAGGCTCATCTGAATCTTGCCTTTAGGTCCACACTTAGAGGGAATAAGGCTCTCGTTACTGCTCTAATTAGCTGATCTGAGCCTTGAGCCTTCAGTGGACTCTACTTAGCCGGCGTTTCCACATCTTTGGTCTGAGGAAGACTTTCTATAGATACCAGAAGGGGAAAACAAGAATGCAATCTTTACAGCACAGAGGAGGGCACAGAGGCGTGTTCCGCCTTCCTGACTCCTAGGTGATGAACCCAAAAGCCTGTGGTTGCCCAGTCGGGTGTGAAAATCACAGAGTGAAGTGACTAAACCCTAATTAAGGCTGAGCCTTTTAACACTTCAATCCTTGTGACACATCAGAATTTTATTCCCAGATCTTCCCTTTTATTTAGATGAAAGACTACAGACCAGAATTATGTCTGCTCTTTAATACCATGTTTACCTGGGGTGTACTTATTTCAGAAGCTTATTTTATTGATCTGCTATAACACTGCAGTGCTGTGTACTTTGACAGTTGTCAGATAAGTGAAATTTGATATTAGAAATACTTTTCCTTAGGATATTAGCTAAATATTTTAAAACCAATCTGCACTTCGAATTCTCCTAACTCAAGAAATTACAGGCCACCACCATTATCTTTGTATTACAGAATTAATTTTTAATTTCTTAAAATCCCCTGGATTGCCATTAGGAGTACACAAAAGGCCAGCGTTTGGAATTTATGAATATGCTTGTGTTGTTCATGCTGCTCTTAAGCAATCTTGGATATAGCCATTGGGTATTTCAAGAAGAAAAAAATGTAACTTCCCTAGACAGGTAGTCCTTTATTGTGACATCATGTTTTCACTTGGAAAACTCTAGACAGACAAATTCCTGAGAACAGGTTATTCATTCAGAGCATTTAATCTTAAAAATTGAATTAAGGCCTGGGGATTAAGAGAAACTCTTGGGGGTGATTACTGCTGCTAAACAGGTTGGACAGCCAATTTGTGGCAGCTCAACACCAGCACCGGAGAAAGGAGGGATTCTGCTGTCATTTTGAATCTCTTCCTATTTTGTTACTCTAGAAAGCAGTAGGAAAAAGAAAGAAAGAAAGAAAAAGAAAGCAGTAGGAGTTTAGCTTTGCAAGGAAAAGAGTTCACATCTTGCTGTTTTTAAAGTCATAGATTTTAGCCAAGAGTGTTCTAATTTAACATTTTATTAAATAATTTAGATGTATGACCTGCCATATTCAGTAGGAACTGAAATTGGAATATTTAATGGTAAGGAAAAGGCACCTGATTGGCCAAAGCATTTTTGCTACTTGCTGATCATATTTGTGCACTAATGCCTGATATTAACCGGTCACTCTAACCCTGCCTGCTTGCACCCCTCCTAATAGTGCATGTGGTAAAGGAAGCTGGCTTTGTTCATGCTTGCCGCCAAGTACTCTGAATACTAAGCGTGTTCACAGACATGCAACACGTCATCACCAGGCTGGCCTTGTTACCTCTTTAACTTCCAGTGTTTTCGGTACTGGGAAGGCTTGAGGGGTAGTGGAAAGAGCACGCACTAGAATCAGACAAGCCTGAATTAAAATTTCAGCTCACTCTGTGTAACGATGGCACGGCACAACCTGGCTGATCTGTAAAATGGTGACATTTGTGAGAATAACCTTCAAAGGGATTACAGTAGATAAAATAAGAAAAGCATCGTACGGTTCTTAATATGCAGGGGGTCTAAGTAAATGGTAGCTATTTATTATCATTTTTATGGAGAAAAAAAAAGATAATACAGAGTTAGGTATTAGATTCGTATGTCACCATTTTAAAAACTCATGCCAGGACACAGACGCAGGAGGTCTGGAGCCCAGGCATCCATATTTTGATCCTGATGTGCCACTTGGTGGTGGGTTAAAAAGACAGTGCTCTGGAGTAGAAAATGTTCTTAATTTAGTGAGGCTGAGATTAATTTAGTGAGTCATTTGTCCACTGTATGGTGGTAGAACGAGTCACAATAGTGGTCATCAGACACTTGGGACTTTGTTGGTTCTCATAGCCTTTGCTTTTTAAAATTAAACTCCTTTTATATCATGAAAGTAATGCTCTTTTTTTTTTTTTTTTGCGGTACGCGGGCCTCTCACTGTTGTGGCCTCTCCCGTTGCGGAGCACAGGCTCCGGACGCGCAGGCTCAGCGGCCATGGCTCACGGGCCCAGCCGCTCCACGGCATGTGGGATCTTCCCGGACCAGGGCACGAACCCGTGTCCCCTGCATCGGCAGGCGGACTCCCAACCACTGCGCCACCAGGGAAGCCCAGTAATGCATTTTTAAAAATAAGTATGATACTAAAACAAATTGGGGAATTAGAAACAATAAGAAATCACCCTTCCATAATTGAAAAAGTCCACCATTCATATTTTATTTTTTCCTTCTAGTTTTTTTTTTTCTAAAAGGCAAGGGGATGCACAATCATAATTATTTGGCACGTACAGATTTTGATTTTGCGGTTTTATCTTACTTTACATCGCATGCTCTTTCCCACGTTACAATGTAGTTTTTCAGTGACTGCATAATATTTCATTAAGCAGATGTATTATTGCTCGTAGTTGGACATTTAAGTGGCTTCTGCTTCTACTTGCACTTTATTTTTAATAAGTAGATGTCAGAATCATGTCAAGATAAACATCCAGTGAGACTGGAACAGAATCTCTCCTTTGACTGAAATAATAAAAAGTTGACTCAGTCTCCCAGAGATGAGTCAGCCTCTCACAGCCCTAGAAACCTGATGAGGACTGCAAGGAAGTCATTCCCTCAGACTGTAGTTTAGAGAAGGATTTAATGATCGGGAGGGGGCTGATTCACCCTGCAGCCGGGCCTGAAATGTTTGATTTCAACGAGGTATTTGGATCTGTTACCTGTCCAAGTGGCTATCAGAATAACCTTGGCCTTTCCGGAGGGGAGGTTTACAACCTAAAAGCACATATTCAAAATTGCTGAAGTGACAAACTTTCTAGGACCATACTCTAAATTGTAGAATGCCAATTCCCACCCTCGCAGGGTCCACTCCTGGATAAAGATACTCAAAAAAGGAGGGAACCAGGCTACATCAGTCAGAGCCGCAGAGCAGTGGTGAACCACGTGGCATTCTGCCTGTGAGCGGAGGCTGTGACCTGGGCCTCTTCCTCTGCTTTCTTGTTTTTATTTTTGGTTTTTTTTTTCCTCTTTTAATCTAATATCTTTCATATGAACTTAGCTCCAAGCCAGATGCTCAAAGACCAGCCCTTCTTGGAATGCATATAATGGAAAATGATGCCTTGTGTAAATCTATAGCCAGAAAGTTTTAGAGGTGTTTAAGAAAATACTGAAGGGCTCCTGCAGGCACTTTCTAAAATAACCTTTATCTCCTCTGTGCTGAGGTGAAGCAGAGCGTTTAAGACTCAAGCCGTCATCTGCTTAGACGCTGTCTTCTCTCCCAGGCCGCTCACCCAAGGGCGTACGTCCTCCTGGGGGGGCTGGGGAGACTCCCTCTGCAGATTAAGAACCAGGCTCCAGAGCCCAGCCAGTCTGGCTCTGCTCCTCCTTCCAGTGCCGGCTGTGTTGGAGAGCTGAGCCTCCCAGAGGCTCCCCTGCTTGTTGGTTTTACAAATATAAGACCCGAATTGTCTGAAATGCCATCCAGCACCTGAAATCTTTGACACCTTGGCACCTTCATAAACCTAGACGTTTCTCTGGGTTGTGGTGTGTAGGAAACCTCGACAGATGGGCCTTCCAACCCAGGAGTCACTGAGAGTAAAGGGACGCCCCAGGAAGTAAGTGGATCTCGCAGCTCAGAGCTGTGGGCACGGGTCGGATCAGGAGGAACCAGTCTCAAAGCAGTGAGCCTCCCAGGGTGCACCTGCATTTGCCAGCTCTGTCTGTGTGGGTGAGGAGAAGGTAAAACAGAAGTACTGCCGAAAGCAGCTCCCAGCAAGGGCAGACACGGTGTACCTACAGCACAGCAAGTACAGAGAAGCAGCTCTTAAGCATAACAGGGAGACCCCAGCACACCCACCTCCCACTCTGCCTCCCTCCGTGCTCCCTACATGACTAGCTCTAACCTGGCACAGTGAAACTACCACAAATCTGAACGTCTCCCTTCTCTCTTCCACCAGCCCTAAAATCCCTAACAAGGCTCATCATTTGCTAGAACTCACATCTACCAGAGAAACAAATTCTTCAAGACAGAAGGGCCTGTCTCCCCCACTTGGCTGTAGGCTTCATTAAATCTGTGTCTGGCTTGTTCACTGTTGTGTCCTCACCGGTAGAATGTGGGAGGTGCTCAGTAAGTATTTGTTTATGAATGAGGGAATCTGAGGCTCACCGTCTCACTAGGAAGAGGGCTGTGATTGGTTAAGGTGTCTTGTGAGCATGGGAGCGAGGGATGATGGCTTGAGGACCGTGTATTTACTGTCTTGCCGAAGGAGTTCCAGCCAACATAATAAGACGTGAAAAAGGAATTGGAGCTATATAAGTATTGGGTTGGCCAAAAAGTTCGTTTGGGTTTTTCCATGTTACAGAAGAACCCGAACGAACTTTTTGGCCAGCCCGATAGTAGAAATAGATGAGAAAATTAATATTTGTAGGAGATTTGGTGCTACACTTCAGTGATTGTTCCCCCCTCCCACCCCAGGGACATTTGGCAGTGTCTGGAGACATCTTTTGTTGTCACACTGTGGGAAAGAGAGCTGTGTGCCATCGGCATCTAGTGGGTTGAGGGAAGGGATGCTGCTAAACATCCTACAGTGCACAAGACAGCCCCACAGCCCAGAGTGATCCGGCCCCAAATGTCACTAGTGCCGAGGTTGAGGGCATAGCATTAATAACAGGAGGACACTCACCAACCTCGGAGGAGGGAACTTTTCCCAGTGAAGCTCAGCTATTCCTGCAGCCCAGATGTTGTCAGGAGATTTCAGTTAATGTGTTAGAGACATTGGTAGGAGTAAGGTTTCCTCTCCTCAATCACAGAAAGCAAATCCTTCCAGGGTTGCATCTCTGAGGACTGCCGTGCACTCACAGAAAGGACCACTAGAGCCAGGAGGTGGGGCCGTGCCACGTGGCTGGCTGCCCCTGGGGTATCAAAGGCTTGACTCAACTTCTCAGGGCTGATGGTGCCTCTAGTAAGGGAGTGTGCGTGCATGGGCTGACTCTCAAACTTTCCAGCTTCTCCTCTCCTCGGGTGGCCTCTTGGGTGTTACCACGCATTGATACCATGTCTCCTCGTGTTTTTGTCCAGACGCCAATTCTAGGGTTTCAGAACCGCTTCGCAGCATCTTTCCTGAAACGCATTCAGACTCAGCCAGCAAAGACCTGCCCGGCCGCATTCTGTTGGATATGGACAATGATACAGAAAGTACCGCCCTGTGAGGAAAGCCACCCCCTGCCCTTGACCCCTTCCATCCTGGCTAGTGGAGCAGGGGCAGGCAGACGTTAATCTTCGCAGACCAAACAGCGAGAAGCTTTCAGTGGAGGGAAAAAGAAGGCCTCACCATGCAGGACATGGCCTTCTGACAGCCTGAGGAGAGAGCCGAGGCTGACACTTAAAGCTGAATGACCTGTGTCTTGAAGAAGTTGGCTTTCTTTACATGGGAAAAAATCATGCCAAAAAAAAAAAAAAATTTTTTTTTTAAAGAAAGAAAGAAAAAAGAAATACCTGCAGTGGAAAGAGTATCATTGCCGAGGCATGTGTAGGAAGCATTTGTCACCGCTATTAATGCAGGCAGCGCCATCAGCAATTTGGAATGAATAAAAAGCAATGCGTTAACTATCTATTTAATAAAGTACATCCATTACACAAGTCACCTGCTTCCTGCTACTTGGGCTTTCGTTCTTATATATCACAAGGGAGGTTCCTCTTCTTCGGACGTGCTGCAGAATCATTTTGTATGAAGTATGGTCTGTGTCTACCCAACTGCCTCAGAACCACAAGCATTGGTGGTGACTGCTGGATCCGTCACCTCAGCAAACTGGATTGCCTTGGCCTCGTTGGATTGCCAGAATGTAGACGGAAATGTACTGTTCTTTTTTTTTTTAAACAATGTAATTGCTACTTGATAAGGAGCGAACATTATTCTAGTTTTCATGTTTAATTTGAATTAAATATATTCTGTGGTTTATATGAAAACTTCATCATTCTTAGAGGCAAAGCTGTGGATTGTGTGTGCGCATGTTGTCACTTAACTACATAGAACTGGGGATGGGACGTCTGGGGGTCTAGCTGTGAATGTAGAAGTTTGAGAGAGTGGCGAGCAAGGTCACAGCAGTGAGACCAGCCACCAGGTGACCCAGAGACTGCCCGGACTGGCTGTCTCTTAGCGAATGTTCCATGGGCTGGGCTCTTCCTTTGCTCTCACCAGTCCTGACACCCTTTCTTGTCCGGAGACACTTGTCTTGTCTAGAGACACTTAGACCCTTGGAGGCCAACTCGCGGTACTCAGCCCCACAGGCCTAGGGCAGGAGTCAGAGCCATTACGTTGCAGGGGAATATCCTTTTCCAGTGACTGGAAGGCACTTCCTTCCCAGGATTGAAATACTTGGGAAGAGTGGGTGGGGAATTGGAGCAAAGCGAGGCCGACGGGCTGGATGGCTGTTGTGACGATAGCCCCTCCCCGTGGCCCAGATTTGGCGTCATCTTTTGGAACACATGCTGCCGTGTTGGCTGCCCTGGGCAGCTCCACTGATAGAACTGCTCGCCAGGTGCATCCATGACCCAGCCCTTGCTCAGAAGCCCCTGGACCTCCTTCCCCTATGAATTGACTTAAGTTTAACTTGAAAAGGGCAATCGCTTTTTCCTCTTAACTCAGAGTTTCCTGTGCCCCAAAGTACTCCCTGCACTTCTTAATTACATTGAAAATATGTACCTGTAGACCCATTTACCCCGGGATCTTAAATTTGTGTTTGCCGAAGGCTCACTCTTTCCTTGCTCATACACCATCCCTGTTCTTTTTATATATATATATATATATATATATATATATAAATATATATATTTATTTATTTTTGGCTGTGTTGGGTCTTCGTTGCAGCACGTGGGCTTTCTCTAGTTGCGGAGAGCGGGGGCTACTCTTCGTTGCGGTGCATGGGCTTCTCATTGCGGTGCTTTATCGTTGCGGAGCATG